ACAACTTCCTCTTCAGCCTTTTCAGATTTAGTGGAAGAAGCACTAGCTACTTGGGAAATAAGTAAGTTGTTGGGGATTTCTTTTAAGCAAGGACAACAGGCCTTTTTTAATAAGATCATTAGCTTGGAGAAAGATTTGAGAATGGCCAATCAGGGGGATCTTGATGGGGGTTTAGATGGATGATTTATTTATGATGAAGTTAAAGTTATCCATTGTTACATGGAATGTTAGAGGCTTGGGTAGAAAAGAGAAGCAAAGGGTTGTTCAGAGGCTAGTTTCTAAATACTATCTTCATTTTCTTTGGCTGCAGGATACAAAATTGGAGAAGATTCAGAGATCTTTTCTTAGAAGAAACGGGTTAAATAATTTACAAGGGATTATTGAGTCTCCATCGGTTGGTTCATCAGGTGGATTATTGAGTTGATGGGATGATAACATTTTTGAGCTGGAAAATCAATTCTTAAACATAAGATTTATAGCTATATCAGGGAGGTTTCGCGCCAATAATTTCAGATGTAGATTCATTTATATGTATGGTCCTTCTGTTGAGGAGGAGAAAGGAAGCTTTTTTGAAGAGTTAAGCATGTTCATAAGAGGTAACAGTGAACCTATTTGTATAGGAGGGGACTTTAATGTTTTCCTTCATGAAGAAGAGAAGATCGGTAGAGCTCAGAACAGGAATTCAATGAGGATTTTCAGCCAATTTCTTCTACATGCAGGTTTAATTGATTTGCCCTTGAATGGAGATAGGTTTACTTGGTGTAACAACCAAGATTCTCCGACTTATGTTAGACTTGACAGATTTTTGATTGATAGCCAATTCATGGCTGCTTTTCTAGATTTAGTTCAATCATTACTGCCAAGGTCTGTGTCAGACCATAATGCAGTAATAATTGAAAATGGAGGTGTTAATTGGGGGAAAAACCTTTTAAACTGTTTAATTATCTGATGGATGAAGTCGGATTCGAAGATTTGGTTAGCTCTTCAATTCAAGAATGTAAGAAATATCAGAGGAATACTGGAATTTATAGTATGCTGGAAAAAAACCAAATCAACCATAAAAAATTGGGCAGGGAAGAGAGAAAAATTTCCAGGAGCTTTGATTTCAGAATTAGAATTGAAGATTCAAAAGTTAGAAGTGGATGTTCAACAGTTGCAAGATGGTTCCAATGGTGAGAAAGCAATTGAGTTGAAGGAGTTGAGAACAGAATTATGGAGGCTGTATAAGATAGAGGAGCAGATTTGGTTCCAGAATTTAAGATCAAAGTGGGTTGAAGATGGGGACAAAAATACCAGATTCTTTCATACTTGTGCTTCAGTTAGGAGGAAGAGAAATGCTTTGAATGCTCTTTATCAGGGGAAATGTTATTCAATATCCGAATGTTACCAAGGCCACTGTCAGAGATTACTTTTTTAAGGCTTTTAATGATCAGTCAACCTTAGAAGTGGAAGATATTGGGCTGGATTTTTCCAGTATTTCATTGGAACAGAATTTGAGTTTGGAGAAGGAATTTACAGAGGAGGAGATATGAGATACTTTAAAGTCTTGTAATAGCAATAAAGCTCCGTGGCCAGATGGTTTAAATTTTGGACTTTTTCAAAAAAAATTGGCATGTACTTAAGGGAGAGATTATGAAGTTTTTTCACAACTTCTACTTGGGGAAAGATTGGGAACATGGCATAAATCATACCTTTATTACTCTCATTCCAAAGGGCTCAAACATTGATGACCTAGATGACTATAGACCTATTAGCTTAGTTGGTGGATTATATAAGATCCTCTCTAAGTGTCTTTCGAGGAGGTTAAGGAGTTGTATTTCAGACATAATTAGTCCTACACAATTTGTTTTCTTCCCAGGTCGACAAATTTTGGATTGTTCTCTAATTGCTAATGAAGGAGTTGATTTTTGGAGGAAAAATTGACTTAAGGGTTGTGTTTTCAAGGCTGATTTCAAGAAAGCATATGATTCGGTTGATTGGGATACTTTATTTCTAGTAATGGAGAAAATGGGATTTGGTCCCAGGTGGAGAGGTTGGATCAGAAAATGTGTAACCACAACTTCAGTTTCGGTTTTAGTTAATGGAGTGCCTTCTGAAGAATTCCCAATGGCCAAGGGACTAAGACAGGGATGTTCTTTATCCCCTTTGTTGTTTACTTTTATAGGCGAACTTCTCAACTTACTGATTCTAAAGGCTGTTACACAGGGACTGTTTTCTGGACTGGTTATTGGCAGGGAAGAGGGTTCTTTCAATTTATCTCATCTACAGTTTGCGGATGATCTCATTGTCTTTTGCGGTGCTTCGAAAATGCAGATTCTAAACGTCAAGAGGGTGTTTCGTGTGTTTCAAGTGATTTCTGGTTTACAGCTAAACATGAAGAAAAGCAAATTGTTTGGTGTTAATTTGAATGAAAAGGAAGTTCAGGAGTGGGCAAACACTATCGGATGTCCAGTAGGCAGATTTCCTTCTAATTATCTAGGGCTTCCTTTGGGGGCTACTAGGAATTCTGCAGCTCTTTGGAATCCAGTGGTTAATAATAATTTCTCCAACAAATTAGCTGGGTGGAAAGCTTCTTCTCTTTCATTAGCAGGAAGATTGGTATTGATTAAGTCGGTTCTATGTTCGCTTCCAACCTGGCGTTGGGGGCAGCCTACTACCCTACCTCCTCCTTACCCCATTATATATGGGAATATGGTCAGCTTAAAATTATGTTCGCTTCCAACATATTACCTATCATTGTTTAAGATACCATCTTCGGTTCTTAAAAACCTCAACTCTATTATGTCCAATTTCTTATGGGGAGGGGAAAATGGAAAAAATAAGATTCATTGGGTTAGTTGGCATAATGTGTGCAAATCAAAGATTGAGGGCGGTCTAGGTGTTCTGAATCTTAATTTGATGAATAGAGCACTTTTAGAAAAATGGTCTTGGATGTTTGCCAATGAAAGGGAGACTGTTTGGAGGGAGTTTATTTTTTCTAAATACAAACTGGATTCATCTTTGTTAATGCTGGACAATAAGATCATATATAAAGTATCTTGGATTTGGAGATCTGTGGTAATGAATAACTTCAAAGAGGACACTGTTGGCTCCAAGTTTAGAAGTATATATACTTTCCTAGTTGGAGATGGCAATTTTATTCGGTTCTGGTAGGACATTTGGGCTTTGGATTATCCTCTTTTGCTCATTTTTCCTAGACTGTTTTCTATGTCTACAAACAAGATGGGCAAATTATTCGAATTTGGGGAGTATAGCTCTTCAGGCTGGATTTGGGATGTGCAGTTTCGAAGGAACTTAAATGACTGGGAATTAGAGCAGTGGTCTAATTTGATGGTTGTTATTTCGACTTTTTCTCTATCTATGGAAACTTCTGATGGGATGATTTGGAAAGGTACTGGGGATGGGGTGTACACTGTAAAATCTGGTGATAATCTCTGTTCATCAGATTCTTTGGGATCAGAAGAGGTCCATTTTTGGAAGAGGATTATTTGGAGGGGTCAACTACCGCAAAGAGTGGAGTCATTTATGTGACAGGTTGTTCTAGGGAAGCTGGTTGCTAAGAAAAAACTTGTTAAAAGAGGAATTCAAGGAATTGAAGATGTGTTATGTCATCTTTGCAAGATGGAGGATGAGTCTCCCTCTCATTTGTTTTTCTCTTGTTCGGTGGTGTGGTCTATTTGGAACAAATTTATGAATTTTTGGAGGATTAAGTCTGCCTTTCATGCTAATGCTAAAAGTTTTCTTCTAGCTTGGGATGCTTTGAAGACTAACTCACCGATATGGTCTTTTATTCCAGGGGTCGTTCTTTGGACAACTTGGAAAATTAGGAATCTTATTGTGTTTGAAGGGGGAAGTTAGATATGGCAGAATATTTCTTCTTAGCAAGGTTTAGGCTTTCTTCTTGGTTCCTAGCAAAGAATAAAGAGGTTTCTATTCCTAAGGACTCTCTTATTTCAGATCCTTCTTTAGGGGACTCTTGTTCTCTCCATTCTAATCAGATTGTATCTATATTTCCTTGGTCTCCTCCTCCTAAGGGTTTTGTAAAAGTTAATGTAGATGCTACTACTACAACAACGGATTGGAAGAAAAGCGGGTTAGGAGGAGTTTTAAAGGATTCCTCAAGTTTTACCTTAGGCTCTTTCAAGGAATCTGCTGGTCCGGGGCCTCCGACCTTTATGGAGTTAAAAGCTATTCAAAATGGGTTGTTGTTCTATGCTTGTTTTCGAGAGCGGATCAAGGACCGTTTGATTATTGAAAGTGACAACAAGGTGGCAGAGGATTGGGTTAAGGAGGTTGAATTATGTCCAGATGTTTATGCTTTTATTATTAAAGACATTGTTCATAGACTTAAAGTATTAAAAGGTGTTGTTAGATGGGTAAATAGGACAACCAATTTCGAGGCTGATGCCTTAGCTAAAGAAGGAATAGGCTGAATTAGTGTTGTTGTTTATGGTTGTTTAGGATTATTTTTTGTTTCTCTGTTTCTGTTTGGGGTGTTTTCTAGGTTGTATCTTATGTAATTTCTTATGTTGAATAAATTCCTAACGCACTCTTTTCCTCCTTCCGTTGATTAAGGAGCTTCCCTACAAGCTCCATTAATGAAGAAGGGGGTTTTTAATGAGGCCTGAAATTCTTATAAAAAAAAAGGAGAGATCACCAATCATCAGGTGCCATCCTCGCATCCCTTGGCAACAAAGACATTTTTTTTAACTCACGAAGCTTCTTCACAATGCACCTAAGCTTGAATTGGAGATATTCTGTCAGTGTAGTAGAAGAAACTACCCAATAATTTTATTGGATAATATTTTATATTTATGAATTAATATATGTTCCGTTAGAAATATATAGCACAAATTACACTAGAAGCTTATCAAAAGGCTGAAAAAGATTTATTAGGAGCACTTTCTCTCGTGTCAAAATCATAATCTTGCTAACTGGAAGCATGAATAAATAGGATATAGACTTACAACAAACAAGCTTCCAACCTATGATTAACTCACCTTTCTCTTCCATCTTCTCAAAAGCTGATAAAGCACTACTAGTGTTGACATTTCCCACCATCTCATTTACTTTTGTAGCAGTTCTGAAGCAATGCCAAAGTGATCATGACCAGAAAGTCCCATATGATGAAACACAGAGAAAAAGGAAGGTAGCAATTGGAATAACGGAAACTACCTAGCAGACTGAGCCCGAGCTTTTAAAGTGTCTTTCTTTGACTTCGCCTCTTGTATCTTGCTTTCCAAAAGCTACACAAAATGGAATTCAGTGAATGCGACCTCAACAAATCCATCAATGTGTACATTGTACATACTAACAAGAAAATATGACACAAATAATTTTCTTATTAAATCTAATATTTATTTGTTTATTAAGTGTTTCATCAGTTTTTTCTTTTACTTTACATCAAAACCATCTGCCAGGAATGTCATTACTGAACAATAATTTATATCAGTTGTAATTCCAAGGCTAAAATTTTGCGTCTGTCTAAGAATTTAAATGCTAGGCTTCCAAGTTCATTTATTTCCATGTTTTACTCGAGTCACCCAAAATTTCTCTAAGCTGTTGTGAGTAGACCCTCAATCAATGCAAAATGCTGGCATATGGATTTTGTAAACAGGATTTACTCCTAAACTCGGGGAGCTAATAAAAAACTAATCCTAGTTATAACTTATAAAAACAGAGAAAATCTCCTTTACCTCTTTCAAAGATGAGAAAATCCCACAATATCCCATAAAGTTTCATTGATTATTCCTCTTTAATTTGAGTGGATTTCATTAGCATAACTTTTATAAGTTGAGACAAAGTACTAAGCCTCTCATTGGTAGAAGGCTACTTTCAGAAATAACATATTGTCATTAATTCAGAAGTTTTTGGGCCTTATGTGCTTTGACAATCCTTCTTTGGTTTATCATTCTAAAGACTGTAGATTTTCTTTTCTATCACTTTCAAATCACTCCTACTGTTCATCATAGATTCATACCATATATTTAAACACATATCATTTCAGACCTAAGGCAATGTATAACATATTCCTAATAAAAATCCCAACCAAATTATCTAAATGAAAAATATTCCAATGGAATTAATAGTAGTAAAGATAGAAAGTGACATACCCGTGTGTTAGAGACAAGATTATCAACTACACTTTTCTGTTGATCAAGTTGAGCTTTGAATGAATTAGCATTATCCTGCAACAAAAAGGAAAAAAAGGTTTCATCAATTATTCAATTAGAAAAGAGTTATCCACTTTAAGAACTACGAATAAATGTTACAGATTGGGGGGGGGGACAGATTTTAATCCCTAAAAAAATTCCCTGTATCAGTTACACGGTAAGTCATTCATTCAGATTAGTATGAAACTGGTGTTCGCATAACTTTGTGTTCAGAGATACAAACGAAATCGAGACAAGACATTGAAGAACCAAGAACAATTCAAAAATATCAAATCTCAAATTTCAATTCGAAATGCAAAGCTAACTGGAATTGAAATGGCAAAATACTTATATCTACCAAACTTAAAATGAATGCAAAATACCAGACTTAACCCTGCCTAATATATCCTACAACTTGAAATTAAAGTTACACCAAGAAAAATATGACAAAGCAATTGAAACTGTCAAAATGCCTTGAATTCTTTTATTAACCATTTTTTAGGACTCATCTTCTTATTTCTCTATTCTTATTCTTTCCCCATAAAGTTCAAAATCCTTTAGTAACCCTCTACTTTTCTATTGAGCAAAGATGCTAGAACCATAAAGCTCCAGCCCAACATTATAAATCTGATATTGTGTTCTTTGTTGCAAGCCCAAAGCAAAGCTTCTCGAACATTGGAACAGTAAACTCTAATTTGACATTCTCAAAGCCTTTTAAGACACAAAAGAGTTTAGGGTTATGTTACTCCAATTATTAATTTTTTCTTTCACTGTCCAAATTTGACGCCCATGTTGGACAAATTATCCAAGATGGTACTTCCATATGACCTCCAAGGTCCATATAAATGCATGGAAAAGCTTTTTAAAAAATTGAACATACTTGTCTCAAATACATATTACCATCTGACACACTGAAGTACAAGTAAATAAGCTTAGAGAAAACTTTGACAACTTTTACATCAAATTCTAAGTGGCATATCATCTTAATGAACTATAAATACCTATGGATTTTTGTTTACTTATTCCGAGGAGAAAGAAATTGAAGATCTGGAATGATTTTATAAAGAATGCTCAGAAGTCAATTTTCTAGCAAGATGACATCTTACAGCAAAAGATTTACGCCTCTTGAGGGCTTCACGCGCAAGATCTTCTTCTCCTTTCTGAAGAGCCAACTGTGCTTTACGGTACCTATATGAAACCAGCATTTAGTGAGGACATTTGAACACCAGCATATTCTACAGACTAAAGAAACAAAGAATGCTCAGAAGTCAATTTTCTAGCAAGATGACATCTTACAGCAAAAGATTTACGCCTCTTGAGGGCTTCACGCGCAAGATCTTCTTCTCCTTTCTGAAGAGCCAACTGTGCTTTACGGTACCTATATGAAACCAGCATTTAGTGAGGACATTTGAACACCAGCATATTCTACAGACTAAAGAAACAGACTACTTAATCAATTACCAATCTTCAGAAGCCTGTTGTGCAGCTTTGTACTTATTTTCCAACCGCTTTTGAGATGCTAATACCTTCAAATGAGAAAAGGATAGCATGTGTGTGTACTTAAAGTGGGATGAAAGTCACATTGAAAGGTATAACAAAAAATGCATGAGAACATAAAATCTAAGCCAATCTAGGTATTTGCGGTTGAGTGCATAACCACATATGCAATGGAATTATAATAAAATAAACTAAGACTATCAAAAGCAACTAGGAAGGTGAGAAAAAGCAAATTAAGAAAACATAAAGAAAGGAGGCAAAAGACAAGTCAAGAAACACAAGAAACTTGAAAAATAAAAAATTATGAGGCTTACTTGTGCTGTGGCTTGTCTCATCTTCACCAAGTCATCATTCATTTCAATAACAGCTTGATCTAAGATTTTCTCAGGATCTTCAAAAGAACTTATGAGTGCATTTGCATATGACTGCCATTATTGGTGAAATGAGTGAAGTTATTAAGATAACTCGCCTAAAGTTGGAATCAAAAGCCAGAGTATCATTATATGAGTGTATAAATGATTCCTTAAATCTGACCTTAACAACTCTAGCAAACCGATCAAAAAGGTTCATGCGCGTACCAAGAGCACCATTGCCTTGTCTATGACAATGAGATCTTCCTGGAAGGGTCCTTATGCTTGAAAGTTTTAGGGCAGCCACTGTTTAGAAAGAAACAAGAAAAATCTACTTCAGTTCTATTTAGACGGTTTAGATGATATTAGACAATCCTTTAAATTTGGTATTGCTGTGTTAGGATGAGAAAATGTCCTATTTCATGGGAGTGCCACTCTTTCATATTACTCTCCAACATCCACCTAGAATGCAAATAATCTAGTTTAACAACAGAAAAACGGGATGAAAATCAAACTACAGAATCAATAAAGCGTATTGAAAGACAACGGTCCAAATGACATGCAATTGAAGCCACAAGGATTTTAACAAATAAATGCCTTTAAGTGAACATTGTTTCGCCATTTAAAAAAAGCTTTAGAGCTTTATCTGAAACATTAGCAAATGACCCAAATAAACCAAACAAAGAAAAATGTCATCGCCCATACAACCAGCTAAGCTTGAAAAAAGTTTTAAGTGTACCATTTGAGTTAGGCAAACTTGTCAATCTACTTACAAAATGGCATTCCTTGGCAACCCTCTTTCTCACTACTCAAGCTACCAAAGAACAAAGCTCTAGATATATAAATACACACACAAACACACATACGGTATTATCCCATCATAGTACATAAAATTTAGTTCCAAAATTTCAACATTGATCTACTGGTTGTAACATGGGAAATGAGAAAAAGAGTCAAGTCAAAAGCAACAGACACTGAATTAATAAGACAGAAAAAAATATCAATTAAAATTGAACGGAAGAAAAAGCCAAATGAAGGGTAACTCCGCCGCTAAAGCAGGAAGAAATGAGTAGCTTTTTCCCCGAAACAACAATTATCCATCAAAATTGAAAGTAACAACAACAAAAAAGGCAAAGAAAGGATATATCTCCTCCATTAAAGAAGGAAGAAGTGAACAGCTTCTTAACCAAACGACAGCTACCCATTAAAATTGAAATTAAAAAAGCCAAAGGAAAGATACCTCCGCCATTAAAGAAAGTAGAAGTGAGTGGCTTATTATCTAAACACAAGCTTCTACTAGTCCCGGAGCTCGAAGCAGCAGCAGCAGTGGGTTTCAAAGGGAGGGTCAATCCTGTAGTTATGTGAGATTTGACAGCCATTTTAGGATTAGCAATATGAAGGAAAATTGAGAGGTGTCCCTTATGCTTTGAGCCTGGATGCAAAGAAAGACTATTATCACACACTCTCTCGGATAATATTTTTCTTTTTTCTTTTTCTTTTTTAAAATATAACTATTTACTCGCATTAGTATTTTTATTAAATGGCTATATATTTATTTATTTTTAATGAAAGCCGTTTGATTTATTGAATGGAAAAATATTATAAAACAGTAAACTGAAATGTCAAAAAAGTAAAAGACAGAGGCTTAAACAGAGTACAAATCACATCAAAATGGCCGATCTCCTAAGCGTTCCGTAAATGTAATATATACAAATTTTTTAGTAGTGTAGAGTATGAAGTCACACAAATAAAATTAGTTAACAAGTGTACTCACTTTTTAAATATTATTTAAAAATTAATTTTTAGAAAATGATTAATAGAGGTATTAATAATAAAATAATTAATGAAAAAAAATGAAATAACTTCGAAAAATTTAGTCTATAAGTTATATATAAGCTTGAAAGGTACCACATAAATAAATACTTCAAAGTCTTTCTATCAAAGTGTCCGTCACCTTATTTTCTTCTTTCATAATATGTTTGACAGAGACTATCTACTCTTTAACTGATAGATCATTGATATACTGTAAAAGGATCAGTTGCCGTTCTCTTGAAACATTTATTCGGAGTAGTCTGTCGGTTTCTTATTTGTTTCTGTTATTACTTATCTTAAAGGTTTAGAGTTCAAACAACTGAATCTGTAAGGTATTTGTGTTTATTGTCAATTGACTAAAAAAATTCGATATACATTAAATATCTATTGTATGATTCACTCTATCTAATGCGCCAACTGTGAAAGAATAATTGATGTGAAAATAAGTAATTGTCACATATACAAAATTTAATGATTTTATTAATCAATGACAATTTTTATCTGTCAAAATAATAAAATTAACGAGGCTTTTAAAATTTAAAGATTCAATTAGAATACGATTTTTGAAAATATATTCAACTTAGGTTTTGTTCATGATCAGAAAATTATTTTTTATCCTTTAGAACATGTCAAAACACCCTACTGGCAGAGGCGTGGCTTGGGCGGCGCAAACTGCGCAAGGCCCCCAAAAAAGGCCCAAAAAAGGTATATATATAGTGGTGTTTTTCTAATAAACGCCACTATATATGGATTTATTGCGACGTTTTTTCAAAAAAAACGCCACTATTATCGTGCAACCCAAAAAAATGCCCAAAAAAGTATATATATAGTGGCGTTTTTCCAATAAATACCACTATATATGGACCTATTGCGACGCTTTTTTTTCAAAAAATGCCACTATTGTGCCCCAAAATCGAATATATCTAAAAAAATAGGACTCTTTTATAAGAATTTGTACAGGGCCCCCGAAAACCTAGCCACGGCCATGCCTACTGGTTCAACCGAGATAACCAACCTTATCACTCATGAATCTGTTGTATAGACTAAATGGGAAGAACTACTTGAAGTGGTCCCAGTTGGTTCGTACCTTTCTCAAATGTAGAGGGAAATTAAGCCACTGATCCGGAAAAGGTCCTTCACAAGGAGATCCCAAATTCGCAGCCTGGGATGAACAAGACTCAGTGGTATGGTAATGTCCTTGTTGTGGAACTCAAGGCTGCCAAAGATTAGTGATACTTGCATGTTTCTCGGGACTGCTAGAGAGATTTGGGAGGTTGTTCAACGAACTTACTAAGATCATTGATACCAATACCTATCAAAACTTATCTCAAAACCATAAAATTTTCCTAACCAATGACCAATCTCCATTTAATACCAATACCAAAAATAAATAAAAAATAACTGAGGCATTGAATAATAAGAGGGGAGAGGATGCTATGAAGGCAAAAATGGCAGCCCTTGAGAAGAGTAAAACGTTGAACTATTAAGTGGGTAGATAGGTGTTCTCTATAAAATATAAGACAGATGGCACAGTTGGAAGATACAAAGCAAAACTAGTGGCTAAAGGATACATCCAAACCTATGGCATTGATTATCTTAAGACGTTTGCTCCCGTAGCAAAAATGAATACAGTAAGAATTCTTGTCTTTGGTAGCTAATTTTAAGAGGGATCTACAACAGTTTGATGTTAAGAATGCATTCCTCAATAGTGATATTGAAGAGCAAATTTACATGGAAGTTCCTCATGATTTTGATGGATCTAAGAAAAGAATGATGTGTAGATTGAAGAAAGTTCTTTATGGGCTCAAAACACTCCTCTGCTATGTTAATGATCTTACCGGGATATAAGCAGAGTCAAGGTGATCATACCTTGTTCATAAAACACTCGAACATTAGAAAGGTTACAACACTTTTAGCATATGTAGATGACATCATATTTATAGGTAATGACACTGAATGAATGAAGAACATGAAAGAATATCTTTTGAAGGAATTTGACATCAAAGAGCAAAGGAAGTTGAAACATTTCTTAGGCATTGAGGTGGTCTATTGAAACAAAGAATCTTCATCTCTCAACTGAAATATGTGATTGACTTACTGAAAGAAACGAGGAGAATGAGCTGCAAACCAATTGAGACGCCAATTGAGTTTAATCATAGGTTATGTGATACACCACAAGAACCTATGGTGGATAGAGGATTCTATCAAAGGCTGGTTGGAAAATTAATATTTTTGGCACACGCTAGATCATAAATAGACTTTGCAGTAAGTGTAGTCTGCTAATTTATGCATAATTTGAAAGAATCGCATCTCAAAACAGTAAACAAGATATTACAATACTTGAAAGGCGGTCGAGAAAAGGGATTCTATTCAAACATCAAATGAACTTAGGCATTACACTAGAAGCATATACAGATACAGATTTTATAGGGACTTTGGGAGTATACTCCATTCATCTCTACCAAGGATCAATTGGCAGATGTGAGCATGAAGAGGCTAACAAGCAAGGTTTTTCAAGAATCAGCTTAAGGGGGAGTGTCAGAATCAGCCGCGTAGAAGTCTCATTTGTTTAGAAGTCTTTTATGATAAGAAAGGATAAGTCTCTGGGTTCTGTTTAATCTCTATCTCTAGATAGAATTTTATCTTTTGCAGAAAAGTCTTACTAGAAGTCAAAAACTCAACTTATTTAAACTATTGTAATCTCCTAATTCAAAAACCAGATTCCTAGACACTATGTTTCTCGGATTTAGATGTGAGTGACAGGTAGAGATATGAGTTCGGGTATGTTCAATTTTTCAAAGTTATTTCCACCCCATGTCTGGATATGTGTCGGAAATAATTCCAGACTTAACAAAGCCAATTGAAAACCTGCTTGAGCAATGCCTTTGCCTTTAGTTTGCTGTGAACAGTTTAGTTTTGGGTGGACCTTTAACAGAGGGCCTAGATTCTTTTATTAGCCTTGCATGCATCAACCTTGCTCAATACTCAATGTGGATTAGTTTCGAACTCACCAAATTATCACCAAAGGGTGTTTTTTTTCCTTTTCTTTTTGGGTGGAGGGGTGGTTCAAATTTACTAAACTTACATGCAATTATCCCCCAAAACATTTTTTCTAAGAAAACAATTTGAAGTATTGTGTTGGGTTTGTATTTTCTTTGATTTTTAATTAAATTTGAATTAATTTTTATTTAATTTTTTAAATGGGTTATACTAAATTTTAGATTTTATAAAATATTATATAATATTATTTTACTAAAATCTAAAATATAAATAAATTAGAACTTATCAAGTGGATTCAATGATAAAAGAAAACGTTAATTGTATTTTTTTTTCGGATTTGATTTGAACCAGTATTATTCCTACTAACGAGTGAGGCGGAACAAAAATCCCCTGCCTCATCTTATGAGCCTCACCAGTCTTATATTAACACGTGGAATGGAGGTTACTAAAATCTGTTGAAGTCAAAACAAGTCTATATATTTCCACATCCAACACCATCAACCGTTTACTTGATTCAAATGTTAGTTAAATTAATTACACTCTTTAGGTCTTGTTTGGATACGGAAGACATTCATTTTTTGATGTAACCAAAGCCACCAGCTTTTGCCTTTTCAACGCCTTTGGTCCAACCACCAAACAATCTCATTTTACGTGACTATCAAATTCCAACCAAACAAACCTCCTCCGCTTTATATCTTCAAATCCAACCCCTCTCAGACCTGATCTTCCTCCCTCATGCCAAGCACCAAAGTCACTCCGGCTGCCATAATCCGCTCTTGGTCCGACATGCATCGTCTCAAACTCACCGATAAATGGGAAGACGACTATGGGAGCGGCAACCGCAGCGGTCGCGATTATTGGCAAGCTAGACGTGCGTTTTTGAACAGTTACCATTTCACGGAGCAAAATGGGTACAAAGATAAGGTGAAGAGATGGATGAAAGAGTTGAAAGAAGCAGCCCTGGGCATCTCCGACCGCCTTCGAGAATTGTTGTCGAGGAGAAGGGTTGGAATTAGGGCGTTTCGGGTGAAGCTGGGTATGCCATCTATTGCTCTTGTATCACATGTTTTACTCCTTGCTTCCACAAAAAAAGCCTTGATGCACTGAATACCATCTATTCATCTTTATATATATATTAACAGATGACGACTTAAATTCCAATATTCACACATTTCTCTATTTCACCGACTTTCCTTGTATACAAATATTTTTATATTTTTAATTTAAGAGTTTCATTTATAAAACTTATTGAGGTTTTGAGTTCGAACAGTTACATTTGTAGGAGGTTCTATCAGTAATTAAAAAAATATTTTGAACATATATTATCTTGTAATCACTGTAGACTATTAAAAAAAGAGTCTTCTTTGTATTATTAATCTTAGATATTATCATATAAAATTAATATAAACATTTTACTTTTATAGTGATTGAGATAGTGCTAAACATTTAGAAATCCAATGAGTGATTTTAATGGTCAAGGGTAGGCTTGTAAATGAACTGAACGTTCATTGAACCGTTCATGAACCGTGCGGTGGGAAGTTCGTTTATGTGTGTTTATTTATTAAATGAACGAACATGAACAAGATTTTGTGTTCGTTTAATTAAATGAACGAACATGAACATAGGTCTCGTTCGTTCATTTACGTTCGTGAACGTTCGGTTATGTTCGTTCGATTATGTTTGTTTATGTTCGTTCGATTATGTTCGTTTATGTTCGTTCGGTTATGTTCGTTTATGTTCATTCATTTATGTTTAGCCTAACCTTCTTAAATCAATTTTGGTGACCAATTTGTAAGTATCTTAAAAATATTAATTAATCTAATATTCTGATGACCAATTCCATAATTAACCCATTTTTATTTGGAAATTAAATCTAATATGTTAACCCGTGAGACACCTCACACCTATATTCATTTTCCCACTTTTTCCCCCAAACCCTAGTGTTCACTATAGAGTGGAGACGATCGTTGAAAGCTTCAAAACAAGTTATATTATAGTGCAATCTGAAGTTTTACAGGTATGCTTTCATCTATTTCTCTGTTTTATTTGGCTTAATAGTTGATATGTAAAGTTATTGCGGGTATCTTCACTTCTAAAACTCAAGAAAACATCATACTTCTTTCTAGAAATAGATGGGAAGATAAAGGTAACAATCGGAAGTATATGAGCATCAATAAAGAGAAAAATATATAGAATTTGCCATAAAACAAAACAAATGTTTCTATGCAATTTATGCAAAATAGTGTAATAGTGGAAGTAATGGGTTTTCCAGGAAGAACCCATTAATAAGTAGAAAATACACTTTGACAATGAACTTTTGTTTTCATAGTTCTTGTGTGACCTTTAATTGTAGGGTAGACTTTAGGTACGTTAAAATTTTGAATGGTGGTTTAGCAATAATATCAGTTACGATATGTAGCATCGAAGGGATTTCGGATATATGTTATTGCCTTGTAGTCCAATTTGTACCGTTCGAAATCTTCATGTTGTTAAATTTTCTACTCTGCCAACGGAAAGGACAATTATTAACAAACCTCACTAAAGTCTGACATTGATGTCACAAAACTTTTAGCCGGCGAATTTATTAGAATAACGTAGTGGAAAATGATTGTTTATATGTAATCATGGACCACTAAGATAAATGTTATATCGTTAAATTAAAGTCGTGTGAATCATTTAATATCTTTAAAAGATCGATCGAAATATTTGATATCTTCAAACATTTCATCACTGCTAATCAGCTCTTACGCTATTTATCACTGTAGATTTGGTTGATTTGCATTGTCGACTATTTTTCATGAAAGAACAATGGAAGGTAGGGTCTCCAACGCTTATGTTCGTTTATATTCGTGTTCATTTATGTTCGTGTTCATTTATGTTCGTGTTCGTTTATGTTCGTGTTCGTTTATATTCGTTTATTTATTAAATGAACGAACATGAACAAGTTATATTCCTTAATAAACGAACATGAACAAAAAAAATTTGTTTGTTTATGTTCGTGTTCGTTTATGTTCGTTTATTTATTAAATGAACGAACATGAACATACCTCCGTTCGTGTGCGTTCGGTTCGTTTACAGTCCTAGTCAAGGCTCACGGAAGGAATAAAGATACCAATAACCACAAAAAATTATAGATAAAATTAATAAAAAAAAAAAGTGGAGAACAATGACCTCTATGCTTTATCCCTACATGTGAAATATTTCCTATGGATAATTTAAGTTTGAACTGTATGATATATGTAAGTTTATTCAAATTAAAATTATAGTGCTAAAAATTTAGAACAAACTAACAATTTAGACAAGTAAAGATGATGATTCTCTTTACAATTATTTTACGTTAAAAAATGCTATAATCTTATTTAATGTAACTTATTAGACAGGGTTCAGCAATAGGTCGATCTCTTTCAGTTGAATCCTTAACACTTGACTAAATCTTGTGGGAAGATGTTTCAAATACAAAACCGATTTATCGCTTTTCAACAAGACTATACAATTATTTGATTAAAAAAACAACACTATACAATTATAACCGTTGCTCTTTGATAGCATAATAATAATAATAATAATAATGTCAATAGTTGATGCGCGGTCATCACTCTGTGATTCAGAATTATTTAGATTGCAATGTTAATTACTTTTGATGTGGTGTAATTTTTTTTTTTGAAATGGTGTTCATTTTATTTTTAATATTTTTATAAAAGAAATTCTTTCAAAAATAATTAAAATGTTAACTGAACCCACTTTCCAGAGGTGACTCCGCCCATGGTTCTAAAAGTAAAACTCAAGCTTTATATTTACTTCCACAAATATAAAACCAAATAGTTTTCCATTATTTCATAGTTTTTTTTTATAAATTTTATATTTGATTAATCCGAGATCAACCCAAGAGGCTAGAGGAACTGGCTTAGCCACTTCCATGAATAAAAGATTTCTCTGACGCATTTAACTCTAATTTTGGATCTTACAGATTTAACCCTCAAAGCAGTACAAGGTAAAACTATTGGTTTTTTTTTAATTTGGAAAAAATATTTTACCAGAGAAGAAATAAACTGAAGTAATATTGCCTAAAAGCATGTTAAAACTGTATAAACACAATTCAGACAATGATGCGGTTTCAGAAAAACCAATTAACACTGATGTTGCCAAGCCATATGAAAAGTGGAAATTGAGCAAGGGCAATAAAGAGTAAGAGATAATGGTGCTTGCTGGAATCGTAACTTCTAACCTCGGCAAACAGGACTCGCTTCATTGTCTTCACCAAGAAAACTCCCATGCATAAGCATGTCCATGGCATCAAAAAGTAGTACGAGTATCTCCATATGATCCTTCCGAGGACAGACAAACACATTCCAGTGAAAGCATACCCGGCATATGCCAGAATGTCGAGTAATGGTGCCTCGCCACTACCTAATGATAGTAATGTTACTTTCAGCAGCATGACTTGCAGAAACCATCCAAGTAATCCCTTAACAAACAGCCAGTTAAGTGCATCAGGGCTAAACCTGGTGGAAATCATAGATAGAAATCATTAGGTGGGGGGAAAGAGAGCAACTTTGATCTAAATGCTCTTTCCAAGTAATAATACGTAAAAACTGAGGTTAAAAAGGACAGATCTTAAGGAATGAACATTAACATTGAAGCTTATGTTTCAGAGAAGATTCTATCCCAAGTTCCCAAAATAAGCAAAACTAAAGAAAAATGTCAGGTAGTGAGGGATAAGGCACGAGAACAATAATAGCCATTTCTTTTTCCTTCATAATTCGGTAGCACCATCTACAGAACAAAAAAACTAGTTGACTTACCCTAATCTCACAGGGACAATTATAGAATAAGAGATGTTAGATGCAGCATACATTGATATTAAAGGTATTGGCGGTTTCTTTCAGAACCCAAGAGAGCACAAGAGAAAGCCTCTCTAGTGAGCAAAGGATTGTCGCATAGAGGAAAAAACAGAGTTAAGACCCCTCAAATCACATAGTTACCGTTAGTAACGAGTGTTTGGAAGTCATCTAATTAAAGATTACAACAAAGCAGGAAGACATGGATTTCAAACCACTAAAATTCACATTGCAAAATTTGGAAACAGAAGTAGTAAAAATTACTTACTTTCCTTGAAGGCCAAGTGACAATCCAGCAAGAACGACATAAGTGCCAAACGCCATAAATGGGATGTACAAGTCCGGTGCATTTATGTCATAAATTGGGGGTTTATAGGAAAGCCTTCCACCTACTGGCTCAGTTATTCTTGTCCAATGGCCCTGAAGTAAAAGAGAAAGTATTAGAAGGTAGATAAAACAAAAACTTAGAAGAAACAGAAAAGGGAACATATGCTTGCCCTGTGCAGAAATGGCAGTAAAACAACCTTCAATTTGTTTCTCACATACTGATCATTCACTTGAAAGTAGTACTGGGGATCAGAGAAGTATCTACTTATCTGTTCAGTTCAAGGTGGAGAAAAAGAAATAAAAAAATATTATGAAGCAAGAACAATATTCATAAATTTGGAGAATTTCAGAAATGATGAACAGTTACAAAGTGAATACATCCCAGGAACAGCGACAGGGCTTCCACAAGCAGACAATTCAAATATCGTTAAACAAGTAAATTCTATGTGGAAAATGATTTGGGATCCCAAAATTTGATTTAAAATCGACATAAGATCTTAACAATATCCTAGAATAACAATTTCCAAATAGATATACTGTGCTACAACAAGGAGAGAAGGGATACATTAGTTAATTTAGCATATCAAAATAACAATAAAGTAAAATATAATCAATAACTGCGACAGCATGCCACTTACATTACTTTGCACATACTCGGAACTTGATCCCAAAATTTTCTCTCCATATGCACCCAGACCACCACGTATAAGACCAGAACCAGCCCCATAAAATGAATTACCAAAAGGATTTGGCTGAGGATTTGTTGGCGGTCTTGGTACCCCAGGCTGGGCTCCCATGTTATTATACATTTTTAAAATCTAACATAAGATGAGAAAATGTAGTGAGAAAACTTTTCCTTGAACAGAATATCTCATCATAGTGCAAGAACAAAAGTCACAAACTTCTAGTTTAAAAGTGAAACACTATATCCTAACAGGAAAAAACAGAAGCCAAAGTTGAATACTTATGTCCACTAATAAGGGGGGATAATGGCACAAATGGCCCCTGAATTTTAGCAAATCATCCAATGAGGTTCAGTACTTTAAAAGGATCAATTTTGCCACCCGAAGTTTTATTTTGCCTACTAATGTGGTACCTGCCCCCTAACGCCATTAGCTTTTTCTTAAATGTCATGGCATCCAGCCATAAAGAATAACATATTTTAGCTTTTTGCACATCATCAACCTGTTCAGCAACCTTTAAGGAGCTAAAAATCAAATATTCCCAACTTTTCACATTAACAAAATTTAAAATAACAAATAAATAAATTGTTGATTGAAATAACCATTCAGATGATTCAAAACTCCACTTACTCGATTGAAGAAAAAAACATTGAGTTCTCTGAAATAATTAAACGGTTTTGAACACAAAAATCAGAAATCATATCACTTTGATAACCCTATTGACGATTGGAAAACATAGTCTTTTAAGAAATAAAAAATCCTATCAGTTTGAAATTGTTCTTCTAAAAAAAAAATCGGCAAAATGACTAAATTTGCCATTCCCTAATGTTGGTAAGCATAGGTTCTTAATTGAGCTTCAAATAAGCCATTTGTTTATGGAAAATAAAAGCCAATTTCTGATATAAAAAAGGCATCAACTTCGATCCAGTCTTTTAGCTGCTTCCCTGCAATCATTCCAGCAGCATCTGCATGAAATCCAGACCTTCAATCCCGTTTATCTACTTCACCGGCAATAGAACTTACATTGTCCTACAACTTCAAATTCCATAAAAGTGTGTTGAAGAACAGATTCCAATCTCTTTTTGTACCTTTCAATCTTAACTGAGCCATCTAGTGGGTTGGACTTGGGATTGCTATGAAAAACATTGTAATGAGAGGTAAAAGCAAAACAATTCCTAAACTGGTATTGCTATAATTTACTGAATGTATCACCAGTGTTGAAGCCAAAATAGAGATGTGGCGAGGCCAGCTCGACTCCACAGGATGAATGATCTTCTCCAGGTAATCCATGCAGAAAACTGGGAAAGCTCTAGGATTTGGATGACTTTTGGAAGGTTTGGAATATTTGGAGATGGAAGAAATTACCAAAGCTGAATTTAGGGTTCTTTTTAATTTGGAGATTTTCTCATGGTGTGTTAAAAATTAATTTAGGGTTCCTTTAATGTTATTTTCTTTCATTTTGGTTAAAAATTTATTTTGGGAAATTAACTTTTGGCTTCTTAAGGGTGCCATTTATGGTTCATGACATGTAAGATGACATGACAAAAATTGCCACGTGTCATTTCTCGGTTGGTTTGGTACCATGTTGTTTAAAAAACTAACGGTGTTAATGGAATATACCACATTAGTAAATAAAATGATACCAAAATCGACATTTTTAAAGTATAGGTGCTACATTGGAAGATTTACTAAGGTTCAGGGGGGCATTTGTTCCATCATCCCTAAAAGTTATTATTGAAATTATATAATACAAACATATATAGAACATAGAGAGAGAGAGAGAGAGAGAGAGAACTATAGATAGATATGACTGTTCAGAATTAGAGATTATTGGCCACCGTCAAAACAGGCTCAGGGAAATGATAAAAGCTAGCCGTGCAGATTATGAAATATCAAATTAAGTAGACATTAATATAAATGAAATGCGAAATCCATCCGGACTTAATACCAACATGGTAGTAAGTTATGGAACATCATATCAAATTGTCACTTCAGTGACAGAGATATATTAGCTAGCCATGCAGATTAACTTACTTTCATTCAGTAGATGGTAAAGAAAAACACATGATTAGTTAATTTGAGGAAGAGTTGCTAGGCTCTCTTTATCCAATGGTGTGAAAAGAGTGTAACACAAATTTACAGGGTTCAAGAATGCTAGCACCCGCACCATCAAGGGTTTATTGGCCACAAAAACTGTTTTCATAAGAAAAGGAGAGGTGCTTTTCACCTATGAAATATAATCAAACTGATAATACCAAATGTCTGAAATCAAGAAGGTTCCTCCTATTTCAACACAGGCAGAAGAAACTTTTAATATCCAAGAAAAATGGTTGAGGTCAATATTTATCTTTAACATTACCAAAAATACTGTAAGCATCAAGAAAAGAAGCAGCAAACTAGCAATGTGGATACCCTTCCCCTCTCTATCTATACGTCATAATCATCAGTGTTTAGACTGCAGCTTCATCAAAACCCTGAATAAACCAAGAGTTCATGTACAGTCATTCAAGTTATGCTATCCAAGCAGCCCTTAATTAAATGTTCACCGACCCAAGGTTAAAGAACTCAATTTTTTTTCTCTTTCCAATAGACAAATAACAAAGCTGTAGAACTCCTCAGTCCTCTCCAACCTCAGTAAACAACATTCTTAATAGCACCTGATAGTAAAAGTGCTATCAGTATCAAATATCCTTTCTTTGATAACTTGTGATTTTACCTCACCAAAGAAAAGTGTATTGCAGAATAAAGTTTGAACATCTATGCATACCACATAAACCTTTTGTCTCACTCGTTTAAAATCCTTCTATATTAGCAACAGATAGCCCTAAGCCCCAAAGTAACAGCAACATTAAAGCAACCCAAACCAAATATAATAAAAACAACAATAATGATATCAAATCTTTACATCCAGATTGAACAAACTGCTGAAAAACAACTCTTATAGGTGTTTATTAATTTATCTACTCCCCAAAATTCAAAATCATCGAGAACTAAACAAAAACAATTTAACCAAAGAAAAAGAAAAATGAACATGAACATGAACAATTCTGAATCGAAGATCGATTAATTTAAACTACAAAGGAAACAAATAAAATTAAAGAATATGCACTAATCCAAGCTACTATTTCATTTTAATTTACAAACAAAAGCAAAAATTAGATCACGCAAAAACACATATGTACACGAAATTATGTTATTATATTCACAAAAAAAGAGATTTGAGATATAAAGGACCTTACGACTAAAAAGAAACGAGTAAAGGCGTTCCGACGAAATTCCGGTGAGAGTTCCTACGTTAAAGGTAGGAAAGAACGCAGTGGAAAACTCAGAGAACTAACGCGATGAAATGGAGTCTAAAATAACACAAGCGAAAAGGAGAAAGTGAAATAGGCTTTTATTTTTATTTTTAAAAGTGAAAAATAAATATTCAAATTATATTTTTTTTACCCTCTATTCAAAATTTTATCCTGATTAATCCGAATTAATTTGTTAGCATACCTGACTAATATCTGTAAATATTTTAGTTTTCAAAAAATTCTTAAATTTTTTAAATTTAAAAAAATACTTAAATATTTAAATTTCAAATATCTAAGCCATTATTGTTGTCAATAAACCTACTCTGTTGAATCAATCATAATTGTTATTATGTCGTTAAATCTTCACTGGTTGACCGTTCCTATTATTATCGTATAAATTGTCTAAAACTTTTGAAATTTCACTTTATCTTTTATTCAACCATTGTTTATTTTAGAATTTATTTTAAGAATTTAGAGATTTTAAAATTAAGAAAATTTTAAAATTAAAAATCAAATCACATCTCATGTATTTATTTAATGACATTTTTTTATGAACATTAATGATTCAACTTTAAAACAATAAAGAAATGTGATGATATACATATATTCTAACAAAAATGTTAAATATCTAAAGTAAAATGAAGTATAATTTAGATAATTACTTTTATATTATTTTTTTAAAATATATAAAATAATTTAAAGTTATATCTTTTTGTTTTAATTATTTGCCAACTAAATACTGTGATTAATTTTGGATTAAATCAGAAAGATTCAATTATTTTTCAAATAATTACTATATTTAAATCCATATCCAGTTTCCAACAAGCAGCCTCTTTGAATTTCCAATTAAAGTTTTTCATTGCATGGGATAATTTTCATAGTACTAATAGTGACATTGTTATATGTCAGTGAATTAGATTAAAATTTAAGTACGATATTTATATTTTTAACCTATGGTAGGTATAATAATTTAATTTTTTGAATAAACTAATTTAATTAAAAATAAATTAATATAATAAGATAGAATTACATAAAATTAATTTGAAATATGTCATGAAATATAAAAAATAATAAATCCAAATTATATCATCAAAAAGAACATGAACATGAACATGATTGAATTTATCTTATATATGATTTTATTATAATAATTCAATTATAACAAATTATAAAATGAATTGAGGCGCAGTATAGGATGAAATGAACTAACAAATTATTCTGTTAATTGAATTATCATGATAAAAAATTTAAAATTTAAAATGACATAAAAATGATGAAATAATAATTGAATTTTTTTATAATAGAAAAAAACTAAAAATAGTTAGTTTGAGATAAAATGAAAAAGAGCGAAAAGGTTCTTTGTTACGAGGTTTTTTTTAAGAAATAATTATATAAAAACTTATATTTCTTGTTAATATATTTTCCGAGTATTAGGCGGATGTTATGGACCATTGATATTTGGGTCAGCTTCTAGGTCAGGCCCATTAGAATCTGTATCAGGTAAAACAACAGAAGGAAAATTTAAACGAATTGCGGTGAGCGTGGATCGAACACGCGACCTTCAGATCTTCAGTCTGACGCTCTCCCAACTGAGCTATCCCCGCAAGTGATTACCTTCAGGTTGTATTATAAATTTATCAAATAGTAAGAATTTAAGCTGTTGATATCCCAATCCTACCTATGAATTCCTCATAATCCAAAAATCATCAAACATTTATTGAAATATCTTTGCCAAAATCAGATGAGAGTACAAAGATATAATCCTTCAAATACATGAATAAATAAATCAACTTTAAAAGGTTTTGACATTTATATATCCAACACTTACATCCAGATTTTAAATAAATGTGAAATAAGATGGCTGCCTTCTTCATTTACGGCTTCATACAATTTTCATTAACCAGAAAACAGTAATTCAAACTATGCAATATCATATGGTTTTCAGTAACAAAAGAATCCCTCAACAAAACACATCCATTGACCCAAAAATAAAAACAGCAAATCAACCGACCAAAATAAATTAAACACGCCATGGGGAATCCTCACCTTGTACACTTTTTTCTCTAAAATGTATAAGATCACCTGGAACAGCAGGAAAAACTACCCGTTTGCTTTGATCCATCAGTTTCACTCTTTGTAAGGGATATCCGATTGATGGATAATTCGGATTTGCAAGTATCCGAGCTCAGGGCCTTCCTGCTGACATTATTGTAAATCTCTCGTATAACAATCTCAAAAGCCTTATCGACATTTGTTGAATCTAAAGCTGATGTTTCCATGAAGAACAACTCTTGTTCTTCAGCTAGGCTTTTGCCTTCTTCAACACTCACTTCTCTGATAGTTTCCAAGTCACATTTGTTGCCAACCAACATCCTTGCCATGGTCGTATTAGCATGCGCTGTAGAGAAGTTTTCAGTAAGAAAATACCTTAACATTTCCGAACTATAAAGCAAATATGAAATCAAATACACAGTAAACCATTAGAAGTCCAACGAGAAAATATAAGAAAGAATGGAATGCGTTGGCCAAGTAAATAAGTGTCATGTTTGATCCCGGAAGTACTTTTTCGTTTGAAAATACGGAAATGAGGATGAAAAGGAAAGGCAACTAATTTATATGTCTTGAATCATATCCAGATACTCTTCTAGCTAGTCTCAATCATTTGAATGGGAAAGTTTTTCTCCGAATTTCTTATCAACTTCTGAATGTATGTATTTATATAATTATGATTCTTTTTTTTCTGCTCAAATTATCCATATCCGATATTTGTGCCTGATGTATATCTAAACATGAGCAACACGGGATACGGCCCCTCAAGGATCTACCAAGTGCACAGAAAACGATTTTAAGAAAAAAAATCAAACAACCAGTCTAGGACACATACCCATATCCGACACTCACTCTAGTTCTATTCCTTCTCCACAACCCCGTGGTGTAAGTGTGTGGAATAACACTGCAATAAAAAGTTGACAATTTCCATCTACATTCCATTCACCGAGGCAATCACATGACTGCTAAGAATTAAAAACAACTACAAGCAACGAACACGCAAAGTTTTTGAGATAAGCTATTGTCGTTATGGACTCTTTTGAGAGAGTGTACCTTAGTGGTTCAAAGTGGACAACTTTTAACAAAGAAATAGTCCAATTAAATTAATCAATTAAAATGGGATCACATTCTCGTCATATTTAGTAGTTTGTATTTATCTTAACCAATATGTATTCCTAGCCCCTAGGATCAAACAATTTATAACATTGATTGCTTCCTTCAAAAAAAAAAACAATAAGCAATCAAATAAGTTAAATGATTAAATCGAATTTTGGCCTAAACAACTCAATTTCTCAAGGATTGAACTTGAATTCTTAACTAGTGAGGCTGCAACCACCTTGATCAACAGCTTGTTGTACACTTACCTACTTTTTTTCCCTATTTTCTTATGGGTGAATCTTGTTATAGCTGTTTCAAGCTTTCTCCAAGCTTTAGCCTTAAACTACAATCACTACAGCATTAGATCTAACACTTTACCCCACAATCACCAACCAATTGAACAAATCGAGATGGGCTCCTGAAAAAGGAAAAAGGAAATATATTCATGGATCTTCTTATAAACTCCTTTTTGATCCCAAATCCTGAAGTTAAACTTTCAATATCACCAAAAAGATATTCCCCAATTCACATCCAACAGACATACATATAAGCCATCAAAAGTTCCAAATGAAGCAGCAAAGCCATACTTAAACCTAGCCAACATAAGGAACCCAGATCGATAGGAAAACCAAAGTTCAAGACAAATTAAGAGACTGGAACTTACTCTTGAGTTCATCAAGCCAGCGACCGACACTATCGAAGGTGGTTCTTCTACTGATATCATAAACAATAAGGGCACCAACAGCACCTCTGTAATAAGCAGAAGTGACGGCACGGAACCTTTCTTGACCAGCTGTGTCCCAAATCTGAGCTTTAACTTCTTTGCCATCGATTTCTAAGCTTTGGGTCTGGAACTCGACTCCAATGGTGGCTTTGGAATGCGGGTTGAATTCATTACCAGCATAGCGTGAAAGGAGGTTGGATTTGCCAACTGCTGAGTCTCCGATTATCACTACCTTGAAAAGGTAGTCTTCTCCGCCTCCTTCGTCGTCCGACATGGCGGATTTCCGGAGTTAAGACTGGAGGAGAAAGGGCGGAGAGCGAGAGAAACAAGGGAATGGAATATGGTGGAATTAGTGATCGAAGCTAAGCTGGCAAAGACATATGACGCATGGAGTGGGTTCATTTCTATTATTAAAAATAATAAGTATTTATTATGGGATTCTTTCTATTTCTATAGTGCTATTACTTTAGTAGTGTTTTTCCTTTTTTTCCCCCCTTCTTTTTAACGGAACATGGACAATTGGACATCGAAGCATGACAAGCAACATGTTCCTCTTACATTATTTGGACTTCTTTTGCGATTTTACTCGTTAAATCTGGAAAAAAGCTTTAATATTTATTGAAACATAAAATACATATTTGGGTAAATTATACCATATACCACTAATTTTTCTTTGGTGACTCATTTATATCGTTAAATTTTTAATTTTATTAATTATAGCATTAAACTTTAATTTTACATTTACTTATGTTATTCGGTCGTTAAGTCAATAACGGAACGATGACATGACTAACGATTACATATATGATTGTCACACCAAAACGATATCGTTTTATTGCAATTTAAAGCTTAATTTGATAATGATATTCAACGTGAGTATCGATACCCATATGAATAATATCTATACTGGTGAGAGTATTTACACTTATTTTCATAAAATTCACTTTGAGACATATTTTAGTATTGGTACCGATTGGTTGTTTTAGGCCACGAGCCTTGTTAAGTTTGGATATGAGTGTGGATATCCAATCGAGTTTAGTACAAGGTATTAGTTCATAAGATATTAGAAATACACTTAAAAGATTAAGATTTTGATAATGTCCTTATCGAACTAAACAACAACCTAGGATTGGTCTAAATGCAAGGAACGAGTCTATGGGCTTAAGGCCCTAATGAGTGACTTTATTGATCTAATGGTATCGTTATTGGCCTTAGTGGCATATGTATAATAATTTGTGGCCTTTATGTCTATTGTTATAATATACATACTTGATATATCAAATCGTGGTCATAGTAACACTAAAATATTATATCTATGTGATCTTAGTGACAATTAAAAAAAATAATGTGGTCATCTAATATTATAGTTATACGATCTTAGTAGAAAGACGATAAATACACATATATTATTACAGTTTCGGTGGTAAGATATGTGTAGATATTTTAAAATCACACAAATACCCCTCATATATATATATATTCAATATTCGATGATATATTTATTACGATCTTGTGACAAAATGAATGGATGTTTCATTTGAAATAATTCATTGAATCAATTGAATTAAACTGAGTATTAAAAATATTCATCTACTAAAATAAATTCTTCACAATAAGTAAACTAGTTAAGTCTAGCTAGTTGCCTACCTCAACAAACTAAACTAATTATTCCGGGAAAAAATATTGTTCTGTGACATAATAATTTGTTCTTTATTACTTAAGTTTTTGGGGATAATTTTAATTTAATCTTATATTAAATGTTTCATAAAGTTAAAATTTGAGTAAATATCTCAGCAATCGGATATAAAAAGAATATAGTTATTACATTCAACATGGCTCTGCATCTATATTAAACTATGCTTTTAGTCATCAAACTATCACATTGATTTCGTTTTGATCACTTAACTATTTTTTCTCTCAAAATTATCACTAATGCTACATTTTGGTTTCATTTTATTCACCCACCGTTAAAAAGTTATCACTATTCGATAAAATTACCTTATGATGATACGACAATATCGCCGTTAATTTTTTAACGGCGAGTGGCCAAAATGCAAAGTTAGTAATGATTTTTTTTAAATAGTTGGTTAACAAAAATAAAACCAAATTGATAGTTGGGTCACTAAATACATAGTTTACCCTTGATATTATTTACCAAATTATATGTGTAGAACTTCAGTTAGAATAGAACAAAATATATGATGTAATCAGCGAGACAATTTTATTAAATACATATACGATTTTAAATATACTTGTAATATATATATATGTTTATTATTACAATTATTTTTTTATTTATTTTCATTAATTAAATTTATTTTTATTTAATATTGAATATAATATGATAATTTTATTATATAATATTAGACATAATTATTTCATTTTTATATAATATTACATTTAGATAAAATGATATTATTAATAGTAATAAATATTTGATTTAATTATATACTTTAGAAATAAATAAGAATTAATTTAAGATAAAATATTTTTTAGGACCAAACTGAATAAATTTTTTTTGAGAGGTAAAATACATCATTTAGTAACAAAGCCACACCCCAATCAAAGTTTTACAATGTCAATTATTTTATTAACTGTTGAAATTTTAAACGTTATTAATGATTTTTGAGATAATAACAAAATTAAAAGTTAGAAAATAAAACTTTTAAAAAATGGTAACTCGGTAATACATATAATTTTTTTCTCTAAATCTTCACAATGTCAATTATTTTATTAATTGTTGAAATTTTAAACGTTATTAATGATTTTGGGATAACTCAATAACGAAATTAAAAGTTAGAAAATAAAATTTTCAAAAAAAAAAATGGTAACTCAATAATACATTCATATATATATTTTAAATCTAGGATGAATATAAAGTAATATATTTTTGAAATTTTTTAATCCTTTGACAATGAAGACTGACATCTCTGACATAAGAGATACTCAAACCTAAAACTTTAAAAGCTAACAATAAGTTCTCAAACCTTATAATATATATAATTTAACATACAAATAATTTATTAAACCTTAATACAATATAAGATCTTCTAACAAGAGTCTATATCATCATTACATGTTTAGGGATATAATTGAAATTTCACACTACCTTAAAATTAGATACATTTATAATTATTATTGAGCTTTATTTTAGTGAATTTATAGATTAATATTAATTAATCATATAGTTCAAACTGGTTGAATATAGAATTGAATGCTCAATCCGTTTTATCTTCAGTTTGTTTTTTTAATTATGGATACATATATTATATGGTATAGATCTCGAAATTATACATAAAATTTAATTTAATATGTAATTTAATTTATAAAATTTAGTTTACTGCAATTATATACTATCCTTTCTATTTTGATTCAGCATTTGAGTTTATATAAACGACTCAAACAATTGTCTATATCAACGGCTAATTCTAATCATGTCTATAATTATTTTATGCTTACTTATTGCATAGGCCATTACTTACATTTATTAATTAGGAAAACATTTTTTAGAAAATATAAAATTAAATCAAAATAAAATTATTCATATAAAATTTTAAAAAAAATCAATTATAATTGTACCAAAGCAAAACTATCATTCACCTGTATAATTTTGAGATTAACATAGCTAGTTCACTTTAAATTACAAGGACTAATATGAACTGATCCGATAATATAGGAACCTACCAGCTAATTTAATCCACGTAAAAATCACAAAGCACCCCTCATCACCAACTTCTGAAGTGATCACTATGTGAAACACTAACGCACATATTTCTTTCTCACTCTTTCTCCTTTGGTTTGCGTTAACTATTTTTTCGCATCAATTTGTTTGGAGATAGAACTCTTCGTGATTTTCCTCTCGAACGACGACGATTCAATTAATAATTAGAAAAAGAAAAATTCAGCATTGCTCTCAGATCTGCGGTTTCAGTTTTAGATTCAATCAGGCTAAGGTTCAGGTTTCAACCTTTTCTTTATTTTCGTTCCCCCCATCTCATTTAGATCTGATTCGTTACATTTTACTGCTGTCGGATTTCTGAATTTGATGTTATTGTTTAATTTTTATTTCTCTAATTATAGTTTAATTTCAGCTCATTTGATTTTTTTCTTCTAGAATTCGTGATTGTTCTAAAATGTTCATGATGAATGACTGGTGATTTTTTTTCTGATTCTTATGGTTTACATTATTTGTTCAATCAATTTTTTTTCATTGCTAAGATTCTTAATAGTAGGACTTGTGATCTGTCAGAAATATTTATCGTATATAGATTTTTATCCAAGCTGGCTAGCTTCTTTAGTTTATTAAATTAACCCATTTTTAATTTATTTATAAATTGGAGTGTCGTGTAATTGGACTTTTATGCGAATTTGATTTGATTATGGTTCCTGTAATTGATCTTGAAATATTCTTTCGAATCCGTTGGCTTTTATTTCTTTGCAATGTTTCGAGCTTTACACGCTCTGATGCTTATAATTTTATTCCGTTGTGGAGCCTGGAAGTCTTTCAAGATCTAATGTTTCCTGTTCTCTCTCTTATGTGACAGAGCTGGTCCATTTTGAAAGCAGGGAACGATGAAGAAAGCTTTTGGTCAAACTGTTAGAGACCTGTAAGTGTATTATTAGATAGGAATTTCTCCTATGATGATAATATATCTGAATTTCTTTTGAATATTGAAAAGTGTAAAGCAATTCCTTGGTAGCGAATTTATCTAGGAAATCTGATTATTGTTAGTTTGTTTTTTAATAAATTTGTTCTATTCCTGTTCCTTGGTATCTGCTATAACCAGTGGCTAAATGTTCTTTTTTTCCTTTGTTTTTTTCGCAGTAAGAGAGGAGTTAATAAGAGAGTTCTTAAAGTTCCTGGAATAGAGCAAAAGGTAAGAATATTATTTAGCAATTTCACAGTCCATTTGAGTACGTTAAAGTTATTTTTACTTGATTGAAGTATCTGTTTATTAGTATTGTCAAGCAGAGTATAGTTTTCCGTTGTCTGGGGATTTGCTAAACTAGCTGGATATTGCTTTAGTTTAGTTGACGGTAAGAATATGGTTTAGCAATTTCACTGTTATATGAGTACGTTAAAGTAAATTTATGCATGATGGAAGTATCTATTGATCAGTAGTGTGAAGCAGAATATCATTTTCCTTTGGCTGGGTTACTAGACTAGCTAAATATTGTTTTAGTTGATATGCTATGTGAGATAATAAACTAAGAATGACATTGACCTGCATTTTAGTTGCAAAAAGTGAGTTCCTTCCATTATTATTTATTAAAATGATGATTCTATAATTCTGCATATCTTAGTAATGGAATGGAAACGGAGAGGCCTAGAGAGGAAGAACAAGCAACACACTTAGTTTAGGGAAGGTAAAGAAGTGGGGTGATAAGAGGAATCCAGCTTGTGCACATTTGTGAAGGGAGTTCTTTCAGATAGTTGCAAGGTTTAATGTTATTTGTCTGCATTATGGGGAGATGACAGTGAGGGGATCAAATTGATATTCTTATCAGGAAAAAGAAAAGCGTAAGAACTAAAATAAGGTTAATGAAGTCTTTGGAACAGTAGCTTGATGGCTATCTATGTTATATGAGGAGTGGTTCTTCACCAGTCAGAGGCCTACATATGGACACTTCTCAACTGAACACCATGTGGAGTGAGGTTGGACAGTTGGCTAGTTTTGTTAGAAGAGGATCGTAATATAAGTTGTCAAGCATCTTGTGGTTGCCTGTTGCAGCCAATTTTAAACCTTTGAGTGAATGTTGGGAGCTCTCAATGGAAGGGTACTAAAGGATTGATACTTACATCTACTTAAGGATCAAATTTTCCATGTTAATGCATTCTCAAGTTTGATTAAGTAGCAGTGTTTTCAAGGCGTGTCCCTAGGTGAGCCTATGCTTTGTGCCTTACTGGACAACAAAGCACCTTGGACCCTTCCAGGCGAGGCCAATTTGATTAGGCACACGTTTTTGCAAGGCAGTTGACATAAAAAATAAGCCCACCTGATTGAAGTTATCTTTAATATCTTTTTAATTTCCACCATGTGTATTGACCAATATAAATTTGCATGTTTTGTGGACAAACTAGTCCACATTTGAGAGCTAATATATATCTTAAGCTTGCACTAACATAAAACTAAAGTAGTTTTACACACTCTCATAACTGTTTATTCATTTAATGTTTTTACAATCCGATCATCATTTTTCATGTTCTATTCATGTAGATCATACACATCCATTTTTTTTGTAAACTAAAAAGTCGATGTTAAATATATATTGATAAACTTGCATTCTCAACGAATATGATCAATTCGACAGTGACAATATTCTTGTTATACTGTTAAAATATGATTTTCAGCTTTAAATAATATATATTATTTCCTTTTGTCTTTCAGGTTCTTGATGCCACTAGCAATGAGTCCTGGGGTCCTCATGGATCACTTCTGGCAGATATTGCATTGGCGACAAGAAATTTGTAAGATTTAGTGAAATATCTATGATTTTCATTATTATTTTGTCTCATGAAAATTCATTTATTTCTTTTTTTAATATTCATGCAGTCCTGAATACCAGATAATCATGGCAGTACTGTGGAAACGTATGAATGACACTGGAAAAAATTGGCGTCATGTATACAAGGTCAGTATTATGTTGAGGGGTCAGTTGCAATGTTGCATTTATTATCAATTTGGTTGCTGCAACTTTAGAAAATGATTGTCTTAAAACTCATTTAACTCTTAAAAATGTTGCACATTTTTGTGTACTTTATTTTGCTTTTTGTTCTCTTTGTATAGATTTTACTTTTCCTCCACTCCCCCATGCTAAACTATACCAATGTCATCTCTGGCCAAAAAAAGAAAAGAATTATACCAATGTTATAAGGTATTTGCTTTGTTGTGCCCCAGGCTTTGACTGTTTTGGACTACCTTGTTGCACATGGATCAGAGCGAGTCGTAGATGACATAAGAGGACATACATATCTAATAACGGTAATTGTGGTTTCTTGATGCTATATAGAAATTTTGCATTCAATATTGATGATAATCTGCAGCTCACTGTATTTAAACGTTTTTGTCTAATTAAGTATTTCCTATGTTGCAGACTTTATCTGATTTTCTGTACATTGATTCCAGTGGAAGAGACCAAGGTAGCAATGTCCGAAAAAGATCTCAAAGCCTTTTGGTCCTTGTAAATGATAATGAAAGAGTAATTGAAGTAAGACAAAAGGCTGTGTCTAACAGGGACAGGTGAGTAAGCAAAAATGCCTTTACATTTTAATCTCTTTGCTTTGCTGAACCATACTCCCAATAAGTTTTTTCTTATAACGATTATTGGCGAAATTGTTACTTGTTTTGGTATTTTGTGTAGTTTTAAATATCATATGTACATGAGTATGTGTACTTTCAACATGGCATTTACATGTCTTTCAATGCGAAAAGTACATGTCTGCAACAGTATATTTTCTTTCGACGTGACAATTACATAGTGATGGAACCATGTAGAGGTGGGAGGGCCCCTCCCCCCTCCCAACTTTTTGGGTTTAATCATTATTAGTCCTTGTCAATTTTGAATTAAATAAGTTGATCCCTCTAATTTTTAATTTTAAAATTGATGGATTTCAAAAACTCTTTCATATTTTATCTTCTTAATCTTTCCTTGTCTTCTCCATTTTTATTTTGAGCAAAACATTTCATTGCCTTCACTCTCCAAGTTGACATACACTTATGCTTTTCATTTTCCCTTTTTCTTATAAACTGACAAGTGGTAGTTGTGATAAACTTTCATTGTTTTCACTCTCCAAGTTGATATATATGTGTTTTCATTTTCCCTTTTTTCTTATAAATTGACAAGCGGTAGTTCGTAATAAAAAATAAAATTATCAAATGTTGTCTACTTTTTTTTCCATTTGTATTTTTTTTTCAACTTTTAAATTTGATCATGTGTTTACTTTGCTATATGATTTCTTACTAATTTTTAATTTTCAATTTTAATTCCTTTTTTATTCATATACTTTTTATATTTTTAAAAATAATTTATTTAAATATTTTTTCAATCTCATACGGCTTATCTGATGGGTTACATTTGCATATTAATATTTAATATATAAACATATATGTACTTTTTTTGTAGATAAAAACTATCCACAATTGATGCCGTTTCAAAAGAAACAATGTTGAAACATCAAGTTCAATTGAGTCGTCAAATACTTGTATGAATCTTAGTACTTAAATTGCTGATAAATAATATTATTAAAGCTCGAAGAATTGAGGTCAATGAAAGTTTTTACATCAATTCATTGAAGTGTGTATCAATTCACTCATAGATGACCTTCATGACATGAAAGAGTGATGTATTCTATTTTGATAGGTTATGTATTTTGAAATTATTTTAGTAATGGAAGTTATTGCATTTTGTTTTGATTCTATTACAATTTATATTTGTGTTCCCTAATGTTTAATCCTGGTTCCGTCACTACATGTGATCAAGAGCACATACATATACAAATGCAGTTTCCCTTTACACTTGGACTTTCAATTCTTGTTTGGGTTATGGAATGTGATAGCTTCACCCGTTACTATAGTAGGATAGTTAAGTTATGTTGTATATGTTGCTCCATAGCAGTTCAGAGACATCCATATGTAGTGCATATGAGTTTCAGTTGCACGTCTTTAATATCAAGGTCCATGGAGAATTAATTTGAGACTGATTAATATTTTTCCTTCTAAGGTGCTGGTGCATTTTCATCATTCTTTCCAATAGGGGTATCTAGGGAGTTTTCTTGTTTGTTGATTCACTGGTGGACATCTAATTTTTTCTCTTGGCTGCCAAATATAGTTTCTTATGAAGGTTTATGCCTATTTTGTATCTTCCACTTATGATTTTGAATCTATTTTCTGCTATCGTGGTTCAATATCTCTATTCTAATAGATAATATAACTGAAATAGGATTATGGACTTATATAAACAATATTCTTCCTTTCTCTATTTGAGTTCCATTTCTGTAAGTTCCGATGATATTTCTTGTTCATGATGGTTGTCATCTGTATAAAAATTTGCCCCAGAAATTAGTTCTGGATATGAGTACATAGATGAATGGACATGTAAAATTCTTCCATAATGTGTAACTGGTTGCAGGTTCCAAAATACTTCAGCAGGTGGAATGTATAGGCAAGGTTCAGAGGGATATGGGGACAGATACAATAACGATCACCATGGAAGCAGGGAAGAGAATCAGAATGCTTATGGAAGAGACAGAGAATATGGCTATAGAGATCATGATCGGTACAGCAGATATGGGGATTCAAATGGTCATGATGGAGATCGTTATGGAAGAGATTATGAAGATCGTTACAGCAGAGATGGTTACAAGGATAATGACTACAGAGGTAGAAGTGTTGAGGGTGATCAATATGGAGCAAGAAGTAGGGGCTCAGATAGAGACCGATCTTCTGATGATGATGGTTCTTCATCTCGGTATGCTTTTATTTACTTTCGAGACCTTTAATATTGCTGTGTTTGTTTCCTTTAAACAACAATTTAATATTGTTGATTCATATATTTTACCATTGTCTCAAATTTTTTTGATGTATGTTTTTGGATACACAGCGGAAGGTGTGAATATTAATATGTTCTTGTACACTAGATTAGGATACTTAAATAGTGCATTTACTTGGGTGATTTTCCATGGTTTTTTTTGGTATCACAGTGAGCTGTCGGTTGCCAGTTACCAAGTGATATGTCTTAATTTAGTGTTTTTTTATATCCTCCAATTTGAATTTTAATTATAGTTTGCTCATAATTTCATTCGATGCTTGACATGGAGAACATATAATTAGCATGACTATCTTCTCTGTAGGGGCAATGGTGCAAGAGTTGATAATCATTATCAGGATGGAAGGTAATGGTGACTGGATGCATTCTCAACTTGTCTTAGCTGATGTTTTTTTTTAGACAACAATTATTGCTTTCTTGTTTCTAAAATTTCTCTGGAAATCATTTTTGGGCAGGCAGCTTGAACAAAAATTTCCTGAGAAAAATATTGGAGCTCCTCCTAGTTTTGAAGAAACAGTAAGTGAATCTAGGAGTCCTGTCCGTAGAGAAAGGTATTGCCTTCTATCTTAAATTTTCATATGCATGTTGCTTGCAATTGTCTTTCTAGTTGATGGTTCATACTAAAGAGATCGTGGTAGGGATGGAGAAACTTCAGCGGCAGCTTCTCCCATGGCTTCTTCTGATAGCAATAATCCTAACCAAGTAGCCTTTGATTTTGGTCATTCAGCATCTCCTCCAGGTCAAACAGTGGAGGCTTTTGATGAATTTGATCCACGTGGTTCAGTTTCAGGTACAAAATTCCTATGTAAATTCTATAGTTGGATGCTCCAATGGCATTATTTGGATGATCATAGTTGCATTTCTTTTGGAATTCTGTGCCCTTGTTGCTTATCCAATATGAACATCAGCTGATGTAGTGATACTGACTTGAACATTCACAAATGTATATTTCCAAGTCTTCCTAGCATTAAGTTCGATAGTATCTGTTGTTTCATTTCTGTTTTCAATTTATAATTGTAGATGCTCTTGCATTTATCCATTACAGTTGGAACTTATTTTTTATCCTTTACTCATCTATTACAGCCGGCCCTGCCCCTACTGCTGCTCCTAGTGCTACACCCACCATTGCTGCTGCTCTTCCTACTGCTTCAAGCTATGCTGAAATAGACTTACTTGGTGATCTATCCGGTTCATTGGCTATCGTACCAACTACGCCTACAATCCCTTCTAGTGAGGCTGATGCCAGCTCAACCTCTGATGCTATACCCACCTTTGCTGCTAATCAATTCACATCTAATTTTGGCAATCAGGTAGGCATGATTTGTTTAATTGCTGAACTTCATTTTTTTTGCATGGTTCAAATGCAAGGATTCGTTGCACCTGTTTATAATATGCCTATTGATTGAACCATGAATGTGGATATACAGTTCTGTTGTTGCCATGCGTGCTGTCATTTCTTCAAAGTATCTTTGTTTAAACGTCATGTAAAACAGCATGGATTGTTCAAGATGAAGCAATTTTATGGAACCACTGATATCATGCATATTTGCATAGATCGGGTCTATGTTACTCGGACTCGGATGTGAATATGTGTCGATATGGATATAATTTTTTTAAGTTTCCTTGTATTTGTAGTATTCTTTGAGGATCATAACCCATACGCATGTTTGAATATGTGTCTTAAATGGATACTCAGACAAAAAGTTAAGAGTCAAAGCAATATAGGAAGGTTGATATAAAAAGTGTTAGAATGAATTTAGAAAATATATATATATAACAAGAAATTCGGTTTAGAATCGTACCAGTGAATGTTTCATAGTGTTCACTAAGGCTTTGCTTGGTAGAGTGGAAAGAAAGAAGGATGGAAAATTAAAAGGGTAGAAAAGTAGAAAAATGGAAGATATGTTTTTTCCTTCTGTTGGTATGCTTGGTAGGAAGGATGAAAAAATTGAAAGAAAAATGTATTTTCTTTCCATTCATTGCTTGGTAGAATTGAAAAATGAGAGGAAAGAAAATTAAGCTTTGAAAAATATATAGTTTTGAAGCAGCTTACATTTTTCTCACATTTTCTATTATTCTCTTTTCTTTCCAAATTGGAATGATTTGGTTTTACACAATGAGGATAGAAAATGACCAATTGACCATCTCTCATTTTCTTTCTTACTAAGCACGCTCAAAATTTATTTTCTTTCCACTTTTCCACTCAACCAAGTAAAGCCTAAATGATTACGAATACATCCATTTGGTTTAATATGCTCTATTTTCTCTTCTTTTTCCCATATATCTCCCTCTTTCACCCCTCTCCCCCTTGTTTTACCCCAATGAACTTTGTTCTTTAATTCCAGTAGATTTCAATGATTTTTAAATAAATCATTGACATTATTCTATTGTAAAGTGATAAATTAGTTTTGTTCTTGATACAGGGTTTTGATGATCCGTTTGGTGATGGTCCTTTCAAAGCTTTTCCTTCAACTAATGAAGGCCAGTTTCAGCAAAAACTTTCAACATACATGACTACTTTCCCGCGTACAACGAATCAAAATCCGGAAGTTCCTCAGCTGCCTTCTGCAAAATCCACGACAATTGCATACTTCAACTTTGGCGACTCATTCTCTGCTGATGCTTACTCTGAGTCCAGTGTCTCTGCTTTTGAGCCTCCATTAGCAAACTTCAAATTTTTTCCTCAAGAACTATCAACTCCAAATCAGCAAAGTGATCTTTTAGCAGATATCCTTCCACCTTCTGGACCTGCATATGATGTGGCTTCTCAAGTAGCATTTTCAGCACCAGCCAACCAATCTTCTCAACCAGTACCTACTTACAGCCAATCAGCACGGCAAGATATCTATGGTCAAGAGACACAGTCAGGTGCTAATATGTATGGCCAACCTGGGCAGCCAAGTCCTAATGCATATGGCCAATCTGCACTGTCAAGCGTTAATCCTTATAGCCAACCTACGCAGCCAAATGCTGATCCATATGGCCAACCCACACTTCCAAATGAAAATCCCTATGGCCAACCTGCACAGGCAAATGCTAATCCAAATGGCCAACCCATTCAGCAAAATGCTAATCCCTATGGTCAACCGGCACAGTCAAATGCTAATCCAAACGGTCAACCCGTGCAGTCAAATGCTAGTCCCTATGTCCAACCTGCACAACCAAACACTAATCTAAATGGCCATCCGACACAGCCAAATGCTAATCCCTATGGTCAACCAGCACAGTCAACTGCTAATCCAAATGGCCAACCTGCCCAGCCAAATGCTAATCCAAATGGCAGACCCACGCAGCTAAATGCTAATCCAAATGGCCAGCCTGCACAGCAAAATGCTAATCCCTATGTCCAACCTGCACAACCAAGTGCTAATCCATATGGCCAACCTGCACAGCCAAATGCTAATCCATATGACCTACCTGCACAGCCAAACACTAATCTGAATGGCCAACTCACACATCCAAATGCTAATCAATATGGAGAACCAGCACTGCCAAATGCTAATCCCAATGGTCAACCTGCACAGCCAAATACTAACCCAAACGGCCAACTCACACAGCCAAATGCTAACCCACATTGCCAACCTGTCCAAGCAAGTTCTAATGCATATGCCCAACCAATGGAATCAAGTTTGAATAATACATCTATGAGTCCTCAAATTTCTGTATCTGCTGGACAGAGCAGCAATGGGAGCTCTCAGGTAGCTTCAAACACTCCTGTTAGTTCACTCGTGGCTGCTCAACCTCAAAATCCTGTTGGACCAGCTGCCCAGGTTAACACTGGAAGCTTCATTCCACAGCATGGTTCTGGTGTGTCGGTTGCTTCGCAGAGTGCTAATCAAACCACAAACGCACCAAGTGCACATGATAACAACAAAGTCCTAGGTGGGTTATTCTTGCAACCTGGATCAATCACTTCAATATTACCACAGACATCTCTGCCAACAGGAGAACTTGATATAGTTCCGCAGTCGTCAAATAAGAAGTTTGAACCTAAGTCAGCGGTTTGGGCTGATACTTTAAGCAGGGGGCTGGTCAATTTGAATATATCCGGACGTAAGTACTCATATTTCCCTTAGTAAAAAATGTCATGAAAACCTTCTACAGGATTTAACTTTATTTTGTTTTCTTCGTGCAGCCAAAGCAAATCCATTGGCTGATATTGGGATTGACTTTGATGATATTAATAGGAAGGAAAAGAGGATGGAAAAGCCTGCTCCGAGTACAGTAACGTCTACAGTCACCATGGGTAAAGCTATGGGGTCTGGTATTGGTCATGCGGGTGCTAGCATTCTCAGACCTCCAGCAACTCCTATGGTGGGTTCTGGTATGATGGGTATGGTAAATGGTCCTGTTGGGAGTATGGGTTTGGGAGGCTATGGTGGTATGAATCAACAGCCTATGGGAATGGGGATGAACCACATGAGTATGAATCCGGGCATGGAAATGGGGATGAACATGGGTATGAATCCAGGCATGGGAGTGGAGATGAACATGGGTATGAATCCGGGCATGCTGATGAATATGGGAATGTTACAGGGAGCACACGTGCAACCACGAACTGGAATGCCTGGCAGTTATAACCCTATGATGGGCTCAAATGGTTATTCTCAACAGCCATATGGTGGCAGTTTTCAATGAGAATGATTTGGATCCCCAGATGGATTAGGAAGTTGCCGCATGCTTATGATATATATAGAGTAAAAGAGAATGGAATATCAAACCCATGCTTTGCTGATGGATCCTCGAGTCAACTAAAATCATATAGTCACAAATTGTCTTGGCAGCGGCCTGATGTCATCCATGTTTATTCATTCCAAAAAAATTTCCCATTATTTCTTAAGCAACTGCATTATTTATAATCTTTTGGTTCATTGCTGTTCTGAAATTGTGTACCACCGAGACAACCTCTCTCTGGTTGCCTTTATTCTTTTGTTTTCTCGTTCATTCAATAGATATTTATACATATTTGAGAATTTGTAGTATTTCTGGCTACAATATGGAATAATAAATTCGATCTGTTTTCTTTTCTCATTATCCATTATCTCATCAGCGACACTAATAAGTAATAACTTCGGTGTACTTACAGGGACGAAGCAGGGGAGAATCAGTTAATATCACTGGCCTGTTTAATCATGGATGTAATCAAGGTTAGAATCACTCATATTCGGGGATGCTTAATCATTTATCTTGAGGGATTTTCACCTAATTCTGAGTTATAATTTTTTTTTACATCAAATCGAAAATTTAATTATGTTCAGATAATGAATGTGCTTTTATGGTATAATCACCCTAGATTAATTTAGAGAATGGAAATAATAAATGTTTAGGTTTGAATTTGTCTTTTTGTATACCGTTTCTTAAGGATGGTTGTGTCATATTTTCCATTCCTTGAAAAAAATTACGCAGGGGAAGCATAGGTGCTCTAAGTTTTCGCCTCAGCCACATCAGACAATAGAGCAAGGAGGGCAAAGTGTAACAAAATATTACTGTGTGATTTAAGAAAAAATAGTTCATTTTCCTTTTATTGAGAAGAGAGAATTTGTGCGAGAAACTTTTTACTGAGAAATTTTACTATCTTATCATTAAATCGGATTATAAAAATCTTATCAATTGTACGTTACTTTTTTCGCATTCAAACTTAAATTTCATTTTGTGAGAAGCAAAAGCCCATATTAATTATGCGGTCAATAAACAATTAATTGATTTAATAAAATGAGATATTAGATCTTTTAAACAAAATCAAAATTTTAAACTCTGACGTTTGTGAATAAAATAAATTGAATAGGAATTAATCGTTTTTTCTCATTGAGAGACTGCTGTTATTTTGTGTTAGTTTTTAATGAGGAATGGAAGAAAAAAAAAATAGAAGCTTAACTAGTTTGCGAATATGGGGACATTACTTATCCAAGAAGAAAAAAAAAAGAAAATGGTTACATTTGATCGAATCATTTTTTATTAAGCTAAAGGTGATTACAAAATAATATATGTTATAAAAACTCTTAATCATTTGACAATGAACGTTCAATCACCCTTGCAGTCGCTAGTGCTCAAACCCGTGAGCTCTAGGAACAATAATTCCTTTAACCACAGAAGTAAGTTGGTTCGTGATAATCGAATCGTTTTAAAAAATATTGAAAATTAATAAAATTATATTTGATACTAAAATTTATTAAATTAAGTTGATTAACAAAAAGCTTACACACTCCTGTTGGTCAATCCAACAATATTTAGTTATCTAAACTTACCGATTGAAATCTCAAAAAATGTAAGTATCATAATTAATTTATATTATCCATGTAAATGAATGTCATATATATATATATATACAAAATTTAAGTTGATGGCAAAAAACGGAGGGAGAATGCTAAAGGATCGGGATGCCCTTTGGTGTAGAGTTTTCAAAGAAAAATGTCTTAAACATGCAAATTTCATGGAAGTAGGCAGTCAAGGCAATTGTTCTTGGAGGGGGATTCTTCACACTAGAGATATAATCAAGAAAGGATGCAAACACCACATTTGTTCGGGAGAGCAGACAAAATTCTGGGACGATTAGTGGATGGATGATGTGGCACTAAAGGAAAAATATCCTGGAAGAATTATCAATAAGGAGGCAAAAGTTGTAAATTTCATTGTGGAACATCACACGTGTAACATCCAAGAACTTCAAAAGTTGTCTCCAGTGAAGCCATAAACCTGATCAAAGTACTGTTTGGTTCAGAATGTGGAATTACTAGGGAATAGAATCTATATTCTCCAGTTTGGTTGGCAGATAATCTCATTTCCGGTAATATTTTATTACCAACAATGAATTTTTTGAGTATATTATCAGGAATATCATTAATCTCATTCCCTTAGGTATTGTTAGATTACATGTATTTTGAATTAAAATGTCCTTAATTTTTTCTTCAAAAATATTATTTTTATGTCGTTGAATAATAAAAATTCTACGAAGGTTAAATTATAAATTTATCCTTAAACTATTTTAGATTTACAAAAAAAAATCTATAATTAAAATTTTATATAAAGTTCAGGGGTTAAAATAAAATTTTACACTTTTATTAAACCTTTTTATATTTTCAATTTTTTTAAAAAAATTATATAAATTTTATGAGTTTAATTTTTTAAAAAAATATATATATAAATAACTTATAGTAATATTATAGTAAAATTTAACTTGTTAAAAAAATAAATATATAATAAGGATAATTTAATTAAATATATATTTCAATAATCTTTTATTTTTTTAATTAAACATGATAGTCTTATATTATTGCTAAACCAATCAAACACAAAATACAACATTATCAGTAATCTTATTTTCTGATAATCTTTTATTCTCTGGTAATCTTTTATTCCCAGTAAGGTAATCTTTTATTCTCATAATAATCTTATATTCCGTAAACCAAACGCATCACGGGAATTTGAACGGGGAGATAATAGGAAACACTGGTATCTTTCTAAAGATGCGAAATTTCAGTAAAATCAACCTTCAGAGCTATAGCTAACAAAAGCACAGTCTATGCTCAGAACCAGAAATTTGATTGGATCTGGAAGGTGAGTACAACAGAACGATCAGAAACTTTATCTGATTGTGTTACATAAACAAGCTGAATACGAATGAGATCCGACAAAGGAAGAATATGACTCAAGACCCAAATTGTAAAACCTGTCAGGAAACGCCCGAATCTATAGAACACATTCTAAGAAATTATGGAACAGCAAAAAAGGTTTGGGATGAATTGAAAGCAAATTTATACGATGCTAGATTCACCACAAGAGAGTTCAAAGATTGGCTAAATTGAAACTGTAAATCAGGGACTGTGGATGAAGAAGGGGTAAGTTGGGGAACTTGCTTCTCCTCAACTATATGGGGTCTCTGAAAAGCAAGGAATGATACAGTCTTCAAAAATAGCAACACAAACACAAGGCAGATCATACATTACAGTAATAATCTATCGAACGATATTTCTAAAGCCAGAAATTGAGAGGTAACGAGAATTACCAGGGAACCCAGATGGGTGAAGTGGAGACGACCGCCAAAAGGAAGCTGAATACTCAATTCGAACGGAGCATGCAAAGCGGACACGGGAATGGCGAAGACGGGCGGACTGATTAGGGACGTAAACAGAGACTGGATCCATGGTTTCTTTATGACCATCGGCAAAACCACGTGCGGTGGCTGAAATATGAGGGATATGGCAAGGAATACATCTAGCAAAAAGCTTGGGGGTGACAAAGCTCATCATCGAGGCCGATGCAAAATGGATCATTGACGCGTTGAATAAAGATGAAATCGATAACAGCCAGATGGAAGTTATCTTTAAGGATTACATATAAATGAAGAAGGAAGGTAGGGTCACGGAGATAAGGCATAACTTGAGAGAAGGTAACTGGTGTGCTGACTGTCTGGCAAAAATGGCGCTCGAAAAAAAAGGAGGTATTGCACCTTAGCCTTACGACGAACTGCAACCTTTTCTCCAAGCTGATTCTCACGGTCTTGAAACCCTTAGATGGTAGGCAAAACGTAGTCGTTTTGCTCCTTTGTACCAAAAACATATATATATATATAATTTAATTATATAAAAATTAACTTAATTCAGTAGTTAAAGAAATTGGTATCATACAAGTTCAAACACTAACAACTATAAGAATGATTAAATATTTATTATCAAATGATTAAAAGTACTTAAAACACATATTACTTTATAATCAACCCTCTCTATATATCTTATTTTTTATCTTCCCAAAAATGAAAGTGCACGCTCAAATAAATTTGAAGATTGGGTCGTTGATAAGAGTCCCCTTCATATTATTGGATTTTATTTTACAAATATTATAAAATAATTATTGAACTATTTAATTGTTATTAAATAGAAAAATTGTGTGAAAATAATTAATTTAAAAAGACATGTCCAATCAGCATGTCAATAGAATGTTAACGATATCTAACGGGTCAATATTCATTTTGTAATAAAATTTATTTTATAATAAAACTTTATTATATAAAAAGCATTTAAAATATTTTAATGAATATTTATAAATTTTAAATTAAAAAATTAATTTTAAAGGTTAAAGTTTTTGAAGTTTAATTACAAAAACAATGCACAGATTAAACTTCGGTAACTAACTGAATAGTTGAATCTAAAAATTAATATCTTCCAAAATAAAATAAATTTAAAATGTGAATTAAAGGTTTGGATCCTGGGCAGACCGTATCTATCATCCTACGTACCGTAATAAGGTGTGATCCTTGTCCTAGTCCTAGTCCCGAAAGTGAAAATGACTGTTATGTCCACTACTCGAATCTGTTCGGTCTAGGTCAGTACCAGACACATGTTGCTGATATCTTTATTTGATTTCGATGATATTTTTTAATGTCCTTTTTACTCGAATCTCTGTTCTCAAACTCTGTTTCTGACACACAGATTTTGACGGATCAATCATTTTCTCCTTGTCTCCTCTGATCCCATCTCTTTTCATGGCGATCGCCGCTGCTTCTTCCTTCTCCGTCGGTAATCACAATCAAAACCATCTCTTTGTTTTATATAATTATTTGTATGATCTTTGATTCCTTGGGAATAGACGAATGAAAAACACTGATTTATTTATTTATTTTTATCTTTGTATAGTTTCCATTTTGATTTCTATGTTTAGAGCAAACTCTTTTCTGTTTCTTTGTAATTTTCTTTCGATGCCTAGTTTCCTGTTCAAAGCCTAGAATTAGGTGATTTTATTATCTTAAATGTGCCTACATGCTTGCAATGTTTATTTTTGGCTTTTGAATGAATATAATAACTTTAGAAAAAGAAAAGAAATGAGAAAAGCCTTCAATTGGAACAGTCTTTAGATTCAATTATCCTTTTTATGGATACCATCTGAATACCTACATGCGAATGGGCATACTACATGTTCTTCAATTTAGTTTAATCATCACGGCAAGGATAATTGAATCTAAAGACTGTTCCAATTCTAAAAGATGTCTAGAGCATATGATTTCCATGTATGGTAATACTTGGTTTTATTTTCAAGTTCTCCTTTGTACCAACATACAATTCTAAAGTAATGCACACTTCGTGACTATTTTTTCGTACATTTTACTTATTTTATTTAGTGTGGTTAATGCTAATGTTTGCATTTGCATTTTCATGACATCTTCCGGTAACTTTTTCTTGTTGACCAATGCTAGCAGGTCCTTCCCGGTGTCATTTCTGTCAAGTAGAAGGGGCTTATTACTCACCATTACTTGGTGTCAACAATGGTTGGATCAAACATACATTTGATGGCGGAAAAGCGAACGACTTGCCTGGCATAAGGTGTGTATTAGTCATATATGTCTAAGTTTATACTGAAATAAAAATTTGTTTCTGAATTGTGTAAAATTTTTGTTATTCGGCCTCAGCATTTTTCTTAAATTTCCCATGTTCAACCCTCGTATCTGATGAGCATTCGGAAATTGATATGGGGATATAACCTCCAAATACATGGAAAAGCTTCAAAAAAATTGAACCTCCCTATTGGACTCATACGCAGTAATTATTAATGTTTTGGTTCATTCCCCATGTTTTGGTATGGTTGTTTCTGGGGAGACTTTTATTGTAATGTTGTCCAGTTAGAAGGTTATCGCAGGATGACATTTAACTATCTGGTCTTCTCAACTGGTTTGCCTTTAAATCCAATTGGTTAAGATGCAGTCTTCCATTCAGTTTCAGATGCAAGGATCCGTTCTTCGGATCAACGCAATTTCATTGGTTATCTGTGGGACGCGATCTTTCCCTTTCAAAAGTTTTAGTTGCTGCGGATTATTCTGATTCAGTTCCTAATTCATCGAGTTATGGAAGTAACCAAGGCTATCACCCTCTTGAAGAAATTAAGGTTTGCAAGAGGATCCAGGAAACAAAACTATCATCAGCTGAAATAGCAAGGACAACTGTCGAGGTGAATCTTCTAAATTCATTTAATTACAGAATTGGTAAAATAATTTAGAGTTCTGATCATTTTGAAATGAGTTGAATTAATTTTATAGCATCATCAGTGTGTTTGTTAGTCCGATGACATAAACATCCATGTCACTTGGACTTGGTTGTGATGAGTGTCAGACATGAGAATGTGTCCGACATGGGTATGCTTTCAAGATTTTTCATGTATTTGGAGATTTCTTGGAGGATCATTTCCCCATACCTATGTCTTTACATGTGTTAGACATGAGCTTCGGACCATCGACTTGAAGACAATTTAAGATTGGAAGCAACATAGATAAACATAACTTCCTCTGCTACAAGAATTCATGTTTATACTTCTCTAGTTTTTTGCTTGCCTTAGGCTAACAGCAATGCTTTGCTAGTCTTTCCCGGGATGGTACATTCTGAACCTCATGAACAGATTTCATGGGCTGAGTTTCGGTATGTTGTTGATGATTATGGAGGTAAGTTTATGGAAGATCACTTTTGAGCTCTCTTAGGCTTTTATTTCCATCAAGGCTTTTGGATTTGTCTCTAATTTCCTCATATATATGTGTGTGTACGTATACCATTAGTTATCTTATTTCAATAATTTTTTACGGAGCTTGTTATATTATCTTAACCTGATTTACATGTTATGTTTTGTTTCGAATTCAGATATCTTTTTTGAAATTTTGGATGATGAAAATATCTTAAAAGATCGTGGAGCGAGTAACCTTGTGGTGAGGATATGGTTTCTTCTCAAAAACAAATTCGCCTTTGTAACTTAAATTAAGTTCTATACCAGTCTCCATGTTATTTTGTTAATCTTTTCGAAGTCACTAGCCTAACACTTTTTGTGCATTGCTATGTTGATTCGATTCTTCTTGGTTTTTTTTTTGAAGTATACATGTCCGTCACTCGTGATACATACTGGACACAGGTATTGGAATATGACCCTCAAAGGGTCCTCCAAGTACAGGGAAAAAGTTAATATACTTGTGTTAGACAAATATCCGACACTTACATATGAGTCCTAGTATCCTACAAAATGGTGATTAGTTATGCCTATCGAGATATTGCAATCAAACCTAGGTTATTAGGACTTGAGTGTGTCTGTCCGAAAAAGCTATATGTTCCACACGGGCGTATTTAATATTTTCCATGTGTTTGGAGGGTCCTTAGAGGGTTATGCTCATACCAAAATATGTGTTGGACATGGTTATTTCAAGAAAAATGAATAGTCAGAACAACAAAGACTACAACAAATGTTCATAATGAAAATGTTAACAGTCAAAAGATTAGCAGGATTATGTTTTCTAAGCAGCTCTACGGTCTCCCTTAATCTATATTCAACCAGTGTCTCATTCTAAATCTGTGATGATTTCTCTTCTTGCAGAATGTTCTGATTGGGATGGACATCCCAGTACGAGACAATAACCAGGCATCCGGTGACTTTAACTTTTCAGACATTGGGACCGATGACGAATTTCTTCTTGATGAGGAATATTTTGAGGTTAGAAACCATGGGTTATTGATTTCTGAAGTGAAGTTTGTGTTATTCTTTTTTGTTAATTTTTTTTATGCTGAAGTCACATTCATGTAAATAGGTTATGGATTCTGAAATATCTGAGGCTCCAGTTTATTGGGGGATGCCAGATTTGGCTAATACCAGCTGGGTTCATCCTATTTATTTTTCCAAGTGCTTGATGAAGGTGATCATGGCTAGTTTTGCTCAAGTACAAGTGATATTTTAAGTTTTAATGTACTCAATGACTATGTTACTTGGACTCGTGGAGTGAATGTCTGATATGGGTTATCTCATACGGGTGTGCACAAATTTTCTTAGTGTTTCCATATATAGAGATATGGTGGATTACTCCATACTTTTCTGTCAAACATCGATATTTAAAGAAAAATGAAGAGTCCAGGTAACATAATTCAATCTCTCCAAAAGGCTGCTAAGAAAATAGTTCTTCTATAAATTGGTGCATGAGTTTTATAAGTGAATAGTCTTCATAGAATTGAATGGAATTCTTGAGTAGATGTAAATTGGCATTTTGAGTTTTACGGGTAACTTTGTGACACTTTGTTTCCGCATTCATGCAGGCTGTACTTGAGGAACATGAAAGAAAAATGGACCATCCCTCGAATGGGGTATCAATTGTCGGTTGCCTTCGACCAGTCTTCGCCGATGAAGAGGCATATCTAAGAAGGCTATTCCATTTTGAAGATGACGAAGGATATGCCTCAAACCGGAAAGGTTTCTTATATTTCTACCCTAATACCCAATCAAGAATCTATATTGCTCCAACTCTTCATTTCGTTTGCTGTAGCCACATTCGAAATTTGTGTCCGACATATATCCATACGATGATGTGGAGATATGACCTTCCCAGGATCCTACTAGTAAATGCAATAAACTGAACCCGTATCCTATTCTTACATCCCAGTCTGAGTAATATATATTAGCATATCAGACCTCTCTATCACTCAACTCTTTATTTTTCTTCAAGTATAAATGTCCAACACACATGTTTGATGCATATTCAGACGTGTCTGGAAATATGACTCTCTAAGGATCCTCCAAATTGTGGAAATACGAAAAAGAACAAAAACATTAAGCATACTCATGTTGGAGACAACCATACGAATTGCTCACCTGAACCCGAGTAACATAGCATTCACATGCATGTGTTTCGACAACCCACTTCAAATTTGTTGACACAGCTCATTTGGGAATGATAATCTCAAATCCCAAGAGTTAATCTCGTTACAGGACTTTTGTTACATCATTCTAGCTTCTACTACTTGGTCTCGGGTAAATTTCAGATATTGGTATACATCCAACATAGCATGGTTTATTTAATATTTTATAAGCTTTTCATGTATTTGGAGGATCTAGGTAGGTTATATCTGGTATCCGAGCGAAGGTTATGGGTACTCCATGAAACTTGAAGAGTCAGAGCAACATAGTTGAAATTCCTTAATTCGGAATATCTTCAAGCTTCTTTGAGACCTCCCTATCTATTTTCTTGTAGCTTCCAGCTTGTGAATTGCAAACACTAGCATTTGGCCTCTTTTCTTGTTTTTCTAGTATGGGAAAATATAACTTTTTTGGTTAGCAAATTACTTATTGGTGAAATCTTCAATTAATCTCTGATATCTTGGTTTTGCTTGTGTAGATGGCGAAGTTCCCAAATTTAGTTCCAAATATGGTGGATGTAAAAGTGGGTCAACACTTTATCGGTTGGAGATGATGCGAATTGAATTATTCTCTGTATACGGTGTCCAGGCATGTAATTTACTCTAGCATGGAATTTGTTAGATTTTGATTTGTAATGGTGGTGAATTGGTCATGGATAGCTTAGGTGAACAGAAGCAGGCACGAAAGGTATTCATCTGTGTGGCTTCGATTTTGTGTTTTTTCTTGAAATGTACTTGTTTGAAACATAGATATAAGGATATGGCTTAAAAAGATCCTCCAAATACAGGAAAAAACTTGGGGGGAAAATCTGACCATATCTGGTTGGGCATATACCTGTATTTGACACTCACACCTGAGTCTGAGTAACATAGTTCCTAGGAGAACAACCAAATTTTTTATTTCATTCCTACAGTGCTTTGTTTCTATAAGATGAGGTAACTTGAATCATAATTCTACATTTTTTGTGTGTATCTGCAGTCCTTAATTAGCTTGGAAGATTTTCAGGATGCTGAGCCTGATGTCCTTGTACACTCTACTTCGGCAATTTTAGAGCGTTTTAGTGAGAAGGGAATCCAGTGCAATGTTGCTCTAAAAGCTCTATGCAAGAAAAAGGGTCTCCAAATAGAGGTAATAAAGAAAAGGTTAAACTACTTGACAGATCTCTATATTATAGACTGAAGAGCAAAATACTCTTTCCTCTATAAAAGGGAGCAATTTATACCCTATACATTTAAAGAAGTAAATTTTAAACAATGATAAACTTGAATGCTAAAAATGCCGATTTCTCATGTTTTTATAGCGACAGAGAAAAAGTAACAAAGTAGTTTAAAAATGCTGATTTCTGAAAATTCAGCGCTTCTGAGAAGTAACCAAAATATATATCATCATCAGCTACTATTTTGCAATCTGAAGCACCGATCTTTACTAAATAGGGAGCTAATCTGATTGGAGTTGATAGTCTTGGCATTGATGTTAGAGTTTTCTCTGGAGTGGAAGTACAGACTCGTCGTTTTCCGTTCAAAATTCGGGTAAGTGACTTATGAAACAGTTGAAGTTATTGAGTAGAATAAAATGCTCTTTTTGGTTTTGAAAATTTTGGTTCATTTCTGAGATCATATGAATATGAAACTACTCATGGATTAAAAATTGGAACAGATTGGCCAGTTCAACTTGTTGAATCAGGAACTGCTTGGTCCAGTTCAACTATATAAGTTGATCATAAAATAATTTTTAATTCTTTATTTTCTAATAAAAATGAGCTATTGAGCCTGGTCTCAAAGTTCAAATTTTGTGGGACCATTGTTCGTCCTATCTCCTACGGACAAATCTACTTTTGACCGAGAATGGAGTATGCCTGCATTATTTTGTTGCATCATATAAGCTCTACAACTGCATTTAGTAAAACTAAACATGTGTTTAAATTGATGTTTCATTGCCAAATTTGCAGGCTGTGTCCACAACGGCAGCTGAAAAGCAAATCCGACAACTACTCTTCCCCCGGTCTCGCCGTAAGAAATGCCAGTGTCATGGAGATAAGCTTTGAGGTCCAGGTGGTTTTTAGTTTTTACTTATCAATCCACCATTTTTGCCACTTTTATTTCAAATAGAATCAAGCTAGGTTACTCATTGGGAGTTGATTCCAATGCAGCTATGGGCATCTATGTCATCCGGACTCACAATTTAGCATCGGATATACGAGTGTTGGACATGGATATGCTCAATTACTTGGGCCATATTCATATCTTAATATCCATATTCAAATGCGATGTGGCATTGATGTTGGATATCGAGTATTTTAAGAAAAATGAAGCGACCATGTAACATAGATTTTAAGGTTGGTAGTTTAACTGCTTAGGTTGATGTAATAAGTGACATTTTCCCTGATTGATGTCTGGCGCCCCAACCGAAACTTGTGTTTATGTCGCCGTTAGAAATGAGATGAATAACATTGGAAAAGGCACGATGACTATCTCTCGAATGCCCTTTGGCTCCAAAATATTAATGGATTGATGGTCTGAATATATTGGGATTAAGCTAGCAGCTTCTTGGAAGCAAGGCATATATATGATCATATGTATTAGAGTCGTATTATGTAATAGGTAGCTCCATGGCATTCAACTTGCCTCAAAGCACACAAAGATAAAGGAAACCTTGTCCACAAAAATAAAAATAATATAAAAATCTTTAAATTATGAAAATTTAAATTATTTATGTGAATATATTAAATGTAAAAAATGAAAGTGATTTATAATTAATAAATCAAAATAACATAACAAGGCATCGTACATCACCTACTATCATTCCTAGCTTTACTGTGTCATTTTCATAGTTAATTCATTAACACAACATAACAAGGAATCGTATATCAACAACCATATGCCTCAGTACCTCTTGTGTTAATTCGAAGTTTGACACTGTGTCTAAATTTCATTTTAAACATGCAAATTATACACATCAAAGCTAACTAAAACATATATACAATTAACATACATATAGTAACTACACATTCAAAATCCAATATTTGAACATCTTTCATTAGTGTTCTTAAACAATATTTTCCTTCCCAATCTCTTGGATGCCTCCACCACTTCTTGCTCTTAAAAAAAAACCATAAACACATATCAAATACATACATAAGCATCCAAGAATTAAAATCAAATTACTTTTTTGGGTTCGAAGATTTCCATACCAAGTTTGATTCTTCAAATTAATACTATCACATGAAAGGATATCACTTTAGTTTTCTAGATATTATCTTGGGTTAAACATACACTTGGAGAATTTTAGAGCATAGACCTCTATCTCTTAGTTCGTTCAAGGATTCAACAATGGCTTTAACTCAAAGAAGATGATGAGAAAAGACACTCTCTTCCCAGCGAAATTGGTTTTTGGAGAAAAGACTCTCAAAGTTTCAATCTTCAAATTTTCCTTTTTCTCCTTGGAAAGCTTCAAAAGAATATAATAAATAACTAAAGTCCCTACTTTAATTTAAATATATAAAATTAAAAACATAAGAGTTATCATAAATGCATAAAACTTCACTAACATCTTAATTCACTCTTTCTAATAGTTTTATTGCTCAAATTATTCAATATCTTTAACTTTTAAGATTATCAATACAGGTGTTATTGATCATTTAGCTCTCATGAATAATTTTCTCTTTAGTAACTTGCTTTAAAATCTAGGTCAAATGAACCAAAACCTTACTTTGACTTCTTTCTTACTATCAAAAACAAAAGGGAAACAGACGAAGAACCTTTCTACTTCCTTTCTTTGCCCTACATTTATAGCCATGGAATTTTTATTCGTATCTTCTTTTTTTTATAAAGAAGACAATGAATAAATATCCAATAAAACAAAGTCTTTAATCTACCATCTTTTCTCTTCAATTATCAATAGAATTTCATAACTAATACTAGCATGAGAATCGAAATCTTCAATGTCCCTATTTAATAAAATTATCATTTAGCTCTTCAAATTTTATAATTTAGTCCAAATTTCAAATTTATGGTTTTCCCTAAAATCAAAATACCATGCATCAATTAGTCTAATATTATTGATTAAATTCATAATGGATTCAATATTGAAATATTGAAATATACTAGAATCCAACATAAGAAATTTTGAGTATTACAAATCTAAACCAATAAAATAGTAGAGGATGATGAGACTAGTTTATCGACGTCTAAAATGATTTCAAAAGATATCAAAGAATGATAGTTTTCTATGACGGCAAAAAACAAGTGAATAAATCATAATTTTCATTAAGTAAACGATGAGGTGGGGCCAAAAAAATACTTTTAGCTTCCACGTTAGCACCAAAATGTCACTTCATTCGAGTGTTAGAGATTTAATGGCTCAATGGGAAACAAAAATCAATGTCGAAAGTTTAGTACTATAATTGAAGTGTTTTAAAGCTTAGTGGCTAAATCGATGCACATACTAATTTTCGTGACTAATGGGATAATTTACCCAAATTTTTTCTATTAATAAACATACCAAAAAAGCGGTTTGATTAATAAAATAGTAAATCCAACGTTATTATACTTTTAATTTATCATTTGGAATTATTAAATGCATTTATTTGATACGCAAAACCAGGTTTTAGGTAAATTTTTTGTTTAATAGATAAAATAGTAATCTAAACAATTTTCCTTATAAAATGAAAAGAAATTATTTGTAGGGAGAAACTGAACAAGAAGCAAAAACAATATTTAATTGGAGAAATATTTCCAATTCATCTCTGTTTCCCTTCAAAACCAGCATCCCTGGAAAAAGAGAGGAAAATAGAGAGCAAATCAGGTACAATTTTTTATTTTTTATTTTAAAAATAACTTTTGATCATTTGGTTTATCTTTTGTGAGGTATAATTTGTTTGTATTTTGATATTGCATGTCCCCTTCTTTATCATGGAAGATAAGTTTTAAACAAGGCTCAATGGCTCACTTTTCTCTTCTACTTTATATGTATTTGATTGTTAATATGATTTTTTTTTTCTTGAACCATACTCCATGACATTGCATAAGATGGAGGTGTTGGTTTTATTTTGGTACAAATTTGTTATTATTTCAATGATGTTATGAAATGCGTTGATACATGTGGCCGGAGGTCGGAGACGGCTTATCCTGAAGGATAGGAGTAGGGATAGACCGAGAGGGACTAGCGGTGAAATGAGTAGTAGGGAGGAACCAAGGTTGGCTTGTCCTATAGGTGTCTCTTGACCTTATGGGGGACGTGTACGAGAGGACGTAACAAAATGCAATCCACATGTTGTTTGTTGCCGAAACGTTCTTCTTCATTTTTTTTTGGGTAAATTTCAAAATTGCTGGATGAATGTTAAATCTCTCTTAGATCTCAGTAGATCTCAGGGATGGGAGGAGGATTTTATTTTAAGGGAATGAAATTATAAAATTTTAAAACAAACTTATAAAACTTTAAAGAGTGAAAATCGATTACCTATAGAAAATTCAAAGAGAATATCTAAATTATATGACATGTAACGCAGATTTTCAGAAAATATCCCGAGGGTATCTTTCGTGATGAAAAGAACAAGGATGCGTCGATGGCTTTGCTGTTCAGCTCAGGTAGAGGAGAATTATCATTCTTGCGAAACTGACCAACTCAAGTGTCCCAGGCATAATCCAGATGGTCTGTTTCTTCCTATGATATTTTCTATCGAATCTTCTGTTGGCATGTTTGTCCTCTTTGAATAATTTCTCATTTACCCTGATGAAACGATATCAGGACATCAAAAGAACTCAAAGATGACAGCTCCTGTCAAACCCGAAGATCGAGAACCGACACCGCCTATTGAAGTGCCGGCATTATCATTGGAAGAATTGGATGAAAAGACAGACAATTTCGGAGCAACGGCTTTAGTTGGAGAGGGTTCCTATGGAAGAGTTTATTATGCATGCTTGGATAATGGACAAGCTGTAGCTGTTAAAAAGCTCGATGTTTCCTCCGAACCCGAACCGAATTACGAGTTCTTAACCCAGGTGTGAGCAATTTGACAGAAGTGTGTGTTCATGTCATGTGTTTGATCTTGTTTCCTAATTATTGCACCGAGCAAATTTTCTTTGTTTAGGTCTCCATGGTTTCGAGATTGAAGCACGACAACTTTGTCGAGCTGCAAGGCTACTGCGTTGAAGGCAATCTCCGTGTGCTTGCATATGAGTATGCAACGATGGGTTCACTACATGATGTATTGCATGGTTTGTGATGCATTAATGTTTACATATGATTTCCTGGTTTAGACTATGTGTGACTCATTTTGTTTTGGGGGATTATAGGAAGGAAGGGGGTTCCTGGGGCACAACCAGGTCCAGTGCTCGACTGGATGAAGCGGGTGAGGATTGCGGTCGATGCAGCGAGGGGCTTGGAGTACTTGCATGAGAAGGCTCAACCCTCTGTTATACATAGAGATATAAGATCTAGCAATGTGCTCGTCTTTGAAGAATTCAAAGCCAAAATTGCGGATTTTAACCTATCGAATCAGTCTCCAGACATGGCTGCTCGTCTTCATTCGACTCGAGTTCTGGGGACATTCGGCTATCATGCTCCAGAGTATGCTTTCTATGCTCCTTTATATCGTGCTTATTTGTTTCATATGTTCTTGAAGATGTCACTCCTGTCACTATATCTGAATGTGTCAGACATGATTATAACCGATTTATCGACGTTTTCCAGGTACGCGATGACGGGAGAGTTGACACAGAAGAGTGATGTTTACAGCTTTGGGGTTGTCCTCCTAGAGCTTCTGACCGGAAGGAAACCTGTGGACCACACAATGCCTCGTGGGCAGCAGAGTCTCGTTACCTGGGTGAGTTTTTTTGCTTCTCTTCTTTTTCATTTCACTTTAAACTCGACATTCCACCAACTCTTTGACGTTTGTTTTCTCGATACAGGCTACTCCGAGACTGAGCGAAGATAAAGTTAAAGAATGTGTCGATCCGAACCTGATGGGAGAGTATCCTCCTAAAGGGGTTGCCAAGGTATTTTTGTTCCATGTCTGCATAATGGCTAAATCTCATAACTCATCGAATGGAATCGGTTGTTATTGTATATATATATTTTTTCTCGATGTAGTTGGCGACTGTGGCGGCGTTGTGTGTGCAGTACGAAGCCGAGTTCCGTCCGAGCATGAGCATTGTTGTCAAGGCTCTCCAACCATTACTGAAGGCTCCAACACCTACACCAATACCAGAGACATGAATCCATTTTCTGAGAACATTTCCTTCACTTCTTCTCAGAAAATTTATGTAATCTATGGACAGTTTGGTTTCATTTAATTTTGACTGCAGATTTCATCATGTCACAACATAAAAAAAAATTAAAATAAATTTTAATGTAACGAATTGATGTATCGTTGAGTATTTGATACGCTGACATTGTACCGTGAATGAACTAGATGATCTTTTTTAGTTGTAACCACAAAATTCTAAGGAATTTTGGGTTGTTTTATCTGATCTGCTGTATGTAAACTATAGAAGCTAATATTATTCTGTTTTCTACCTTTTTGGTCAAATTATGAGCTTTATCCTTGTACATCATTTAAGAAGGTGAATTGCTACTATTTATAAGGGTAAAGTATACAAATGATCCTTCAACACTGCTTTGTTGAGTCCCGGTATTGAAAGTTATAAATAATCCTCTGATTATAGGTACAATTTTATTGAGTCTCCTAACTATTAAAAGTTACAAAAATGGTCACTCAACTATTCGTATGTTCTAAACTCATCATTTTTCTTTAAAAAATTGATGATCGTTTGAATTGAATGTTCACATGTAAGGGTGGACGCACTTGGCTCCCTAGAGGGCCAAGTGCATACCCATTATTTTAGATAAATCATTAAATATAATTCAATATATTAAGGGAATGAGGGGATTGTATACCTGTAATTTTAAAAAAATAGTATTAAAATTTTTGGACTCCTATTTTTTAATTTTTGGATCCGTCAGTGTTAACATGATAAGCTATTGATGAACGATGTAACCACTTTGGTTCTTGTCGAACACATTAAAGGCTTGAGACAGAAGCTCGTTGTTGCCGCCGATCCGTTTCAGGTGAACCACCATTATTACAAACTCATCACGGCTCAGAATTCCGTTTCCATCCATGTCCGCCTGCATATTAGTAATTTTTTCACAAGATTCAGATGATATTCTAATTTTCTTTATCGTAAAATGATATTAGGAAAAAGAAATAAACATACAGCTTCCATTAACATCTGAACATCAGGATCATCGAGAGAATGCCAGATTTTCTTAAGTCCATCTCAAGTTCCTCGAATGTCAAGTTCCCGCTTTCGTCAGTGTCCATCATATTAAACATCTCTTTGATTGAATCCACTCGTTCATTCTGCAAGTTGTCTGCTACCACCTGCAATAATGTATATTAGGACTTAATCTGTTATAAGATATTATCTGTTTCGGAAAGGTGTTGAATGGATTTCTTACCCTAAGAACTTCCTTCTTGAACTTGTTCATCAATGAGAATTGCTTAATCCTTGCTCTCACGCGTTCTCCAAGATTCACATTTCGAGCATGTTCCAAGTTTTGTATCCATGGATGTTCTTCATGTACCAAGCAAAACCAACATAATATAAACTTGTCTCAAATACTAACCATCTAAACTATACATTAAAATTACAAACAAACAATGTAAGATAATATTGTAATACCAAATGAGACAACGTACCGTAAACCTGCTGAACAGTTATCCGAGTTCTAGGATCGTGGTCCAGCATTCTCTTAACAAGATCCTTCGTTTCCTCAGAAACCTTAGGCCATGGATCCCTTTCAAAGTCTATCTTTCCTCTTATTATTGCATGTGCAATTCCTTCTTCATTGTCTGCAATTCCATTTTATATGTTATTCCAATTCAAGTGTGGCTTTCGGATATAGATATTTTGATCATATGATTAAATCGTTATTGTATACGTTTGGGATGTTAGTAAAGATGAACATGAATAACAAATGTTTGAATACGAGATGTTTTTTTTTGGATAAGTAATTTATATTCATCCAAAAGAAAGCAGTTTAGCTGCTACAAACCAACAGTAAGCACTATATCAGTCCCCAACTTATGTACAAGTGTCTATTTACATCATCTCTTCTATGTGTGCAGTGCCTATACAATTTGTATTTAATAGTCTCTTTAATCTTTTTTACAATTGCTTCCACTGAACGCGACAACCTCCTAAAAAACTTGTGGTTACGCTCTTCCCAGATGTAGTACAAACAAACAGTCCAGGCGAGCTTTAAAATCCGCACTCGAGAGACTTGCCTCTCAAGTTCTCAACCAACCAATCCATTCGGTCACCCCAGCTGTACAAACCAGAACAAATCTCACAAGAAACAAGAATAGCATCCCAAACTTCCTTAGCAAAGGAACAATTAGCAAAAAGATGGTCACGGATTTCCAGATCATTGCCACACATAATACAACCATTATCCATTACCAAGCCAAATTTAATCAGCCTAACTGTAACACCCCCAACCCGTATCCAACCCGGATACGAGTCCGAAGTATCACATTGACTTTTCAAACCTTGACTCTTAAGAAAAATCCCGGGAAATTTAAAACTTTATTTAAAACAAAATACAGACTTTATCAGAGTGCTCGTACTTAATGACTTATTACATGCCAACACTTTATACATAACCAAATACATACTTTGTCAAATATTTCTGATCTGATCTTTTGGTAAGGAAAACTGACCTGTCTTGCTCCGCATTACTCTTTACTCTTCTCGAAACCTACGTGTGAAACAATCACACGCTAAGTCGAAGACTTAGTGAGGCATAACAACTTATAATGCACTTTATAACATATACCGATACATGCATGTTCTGTTCTATCATGTTATAGCAATTCCATGCATTTTTCATATCATATAAAATCATATCAGATTAATTACAGTAAATACATACATACACATAATTCATCATTAACAGTTTATCATGTAATCACATACTTTGTCAATCAAACACTATACACACACAACATCATATCATTTCTATAGCATTTATCATACCACTAACATATATTTGTTCATATCTCTGGATTAGCCCATGTACATATGTGAGAACTATCGATATGTGAGTCTATAGAGGTTGTGCACTAATGCTGTCACCACAGCTCGTATAATTGCACCGAAGTGCCGCGTAGAATTACACCGTAGTGCCATATAATGATGTCCATAAGGACTACATAGAATTCCTTAAGAATCATATACATATACTAGGGATCAAGTATGTGTCTTTCCAGACTTCACACATGTTCCAAAGAATATACATATGTCCCGAAGGACCGCGTAGAATTGCACCGTAGTGCCATATAATGATGTCCATAAGGACCACATAGAATTCCTTAAGAATCATATACATATGCTAGGGATCATATATGTGTCTTTCCAGACTTCACACATGTTCCAAAGAATATACATATGTCCCGAAGGACCGCGTAGAATTGCACCGTAGTGCCATATAATGATGTCCATAAGGACCACATAGAATTCCTTAAGAATCATATACATATGCTAGGGATCATATATGTGTCTTTCCAGACTTCACACATGTTCCAAAGAATATACATATGTCCCGAAGGACCGCGTAGACCCTCGACTCTTGGCATGCCAACTATACCCCTAGCTCTCATGACACATAACATGGGCATTATCATTTATTTCATTTCAAATATTCACTTAAACTTGTAATTCACTTTCACATATCACATATCACATAGCTTCTTTTCATATTATCACATAGTCACGTAGTTCACTTACACGTAGATCATTTCCATATAATTCACATGTCACATATATCATGTTTTCATATAATTTCTATCATTTCTCACCCAATCACCTTTATTCATATCACCATACTTATCATATTTTGTTCACATAAGATCATATACTTCATATAATATATAGAAACACCTAGAACACTTTCACGTAGCTTATAGTCATAGGTCTTATCTCATAACATATACTTGTTTTCACATATATATTTCATATCATTTCTTATACCATCACATAATTCATTTAACATACATAACATATTATGTAACATTATAATAGAAATACCTATAAGTCATATCACTTAGAGCACATATATACTTATAGTCACATTGCTTATAACTTAATCTTATGCCTTCTCTTAGACATATATATTCACATGTTCAGGTAATCCACCATTTCATCACATAATTATGTATTCATATAACTCATTTCATTTCATTTCATATTTATCTATATATATATATATATATCCTCAAGATTTATCCTAATATAAATCATATAGCACTCTTATAATTCATATTCATATTCATCTAGGGCAGACTTATAAATATATCCCACTTCTATTATTTCTTTATATATATAATCTAATCTGTTTACTTAATTCAATTTCATATAACTCCTATAATCTTCTCATATAACTTCATAAATTTCTATCATACAACCCATGTGTTATAGTTTTATTTAAACATATGAATCTTTCCCATCTAGCTTATCTTATATGTTCATCTTATCATTTATGTTCAAATCTCCTAATTAGTGTACTATTCTCACTTCATCCTATAGATCAATATTATCCAGCTTATTTCACTTATCTATAATAATAATTATATTTTACTATGATCACATAGTTATATCTCATATAATTCATAACCTTTCTTATGTAATTACTTATACTTTATCATCTAACACATAAAAGAGCAGATCAATCCATATAATCAAGCATACATACATGCATATTCAACTCATGCCTTTAATCATGCATTCATGTGTAACACTTCAGGAAATAGACTCATCGCAAGTCTTATTCCCATCGCACATCATATACTATTGAATATGCACTCACCTGGTCTCACTAGTCAATTCCAATCTCTTATCTTTCCCTTGATCGATCTTACTTGCCAAACGTTTCGGAATTGCTTTATGCGTAGAATCTACATAAATGTACATTTCGAGGCAATCATTAGATACCTACACCTTGTAATTGGATACTAGCAACTTAAACGAACTTATTAAACCCATATTCCCAATTTCCTTTAGGGGGAATCGGTTCCCTACTATGGGGGTATCGATTCCCTAATGACATTCTGGAAATGTTGTTCGTTTGAAGGGGTATCGGTTCCCCTTGAATGGGTACCGATTCCCCTTGCCCAGAAATCATATTTTCAACCCGAAAATTACTTCATTTCCACTCAAACACTTCATATATCATCCCCTTTTCATTCTTAACTCTAGTACACATACTTAAACCAATATATATTCATTTATTTCATCTTAAACCTAAAAATCCTATCTTCCATATGAGATTCAAAAATCATACCAAATTTTCAATGTGTTTAAATTCCAATTCTAACACTTCATACTTCTTAATTAGATTGATGACAAGTCAAATTCATCCATAAAACTTCAACAACCATACCATATCAAAATTTCATCTTAAAACTCATATTGCAAATTCCTTCATAATTCCTTTATCTTATTGTTTAAATCCCATATAAGCTTTCCTTAAGCTTATTTAATACCCAAAGAATCAAAACTAAGCTTAAAACTCCAGAATTAACCAACTAAAATTAAACTTACCTTTGCCTTGCTCTCCCACGTATGAAGAAGAAGAAAAGGAGTAGAGAACTCTGGATACTTCTCAAATTTCCCACGTTTATATTACCTTAAAAAAATTATAAAAATATTTCTGGTCAAATGACCATAATACCCTTAATTTCCTTTAATAATTACCAAATAACCTTCAATATATATTCAAATAATCATTGAATTCTTTCATTCTTCTACTTTAGTCACCAAATTCTGAAACTTTACAATTTGGTCACTAACCCGGTATTGCGGATGCTACACTAACCTTGGTAGACAATCTATCAAGTATAACCATCCACAAAATAAGGGAACACTTCGGGATGTGAGCAGGAAACCAAATAATTTTGTGTGAGCTTACCTTTTTCCCTGTTGGTTCTGATATTATCCCAAATCCATTTGTTGCTAATTAGGTGCTAATCAATACTAGGAAAGAACAAACTTTTAGCCACCTCATGAAGGTTCAGCAACTTTTTAATAATCCAACTGAAGTGGCCTTTACAATCCACCTCCCAAAAACTCACATTTTTAAAACAATACTCTTTTATCCATGCTATCCAAATGGAACCATCATTAGCCAGAATATTTTTTATTAGCATCAAACAACATGCTTTACTCCACAGGGAAAGATCTCTAAGTCCCAGGCCACCCTCATACTTTAGTGAGCAAATCTGGTTCCATCCAACACGAGCTCCTCTGGCAGGGGAGTCATTGCCTTTCCAGAAAAAAAATGCATGCATAGCCTCTCAATGTCTCTGACAAACCTCTTGGGAAGAATGAGCTGACTGCTCCAATAATTGAACATACTAAACAAAACAGTCTTGATCAGCTGAAGCCTACCCCCAAAGCTAAGCTTCTTACTAGACCATTGAGATAGCTTGTCTTTAATTCTCACCAATAGAGCAACACAGTCCTTACTTGTGAGTTTTCGAGTAACTAGGGGCACTCCAAGATATCTAACAGGTAGTTGTGCCACTCTAAAACCAGTAGTAGATTGTATCAAGTCAAGGGAGCTCCCACTTAACCCACAGGCGAATAGTTCAGTCTTCAGTGCATTTAGCTTAAGGCCTGAAAGATCATAAAACCCCTCAAGGGTGCACTGGACACCTAAGAAAGATTCAAGAGAACCATGACAAAACATAAGGAGGTCATCAGCAAAGCTAAGGTGAGTTAGGGAAATTCTTTTGCATTTTGGATGGAATCTAAAAATTCCATGCTTAGCAGCATTGTTCAGCATAGCAGAAAGAACATTCATCACCAAGACAAAAAGATAAGGGGATAAGGGGTCACCTTATCTAATACCCCTTGCCCCCTTGAAGTGCCCCACCAAGCTACTATTCAAGCAAACAGAATACATTGGGGTAGTAATGCAAACCCTGATCCAGTTACAAAAAACTTCAGGAAATCCCATAGCCTCAAAAACAATTAGCAGAAAGTCCCAGTTAATAGAATCAAAAGCCTTCTGCAAATCAATTTTAACAGTGCATCTAGGAGAAAGGCTTTTCCTAGAATATCCTTTCATAATCTCCTGGGATACCAGGGTATTATCAACAATGCTCCTACCCTTAACAAAGGCTGACTGGTTGTGGGAAATCATGTCAGGGAAGTAGGGAGTAAGTCTATTAACCAGAATTCTAGTGATGGTTTTGTAAACTACTGAACAACAAGATATAGGCCTAAATTCCTTATCCATACATGCATTTAAGGACTTTGGGACCAGAACTAAATTTGTGGCATTAAAGTAAGCAGCAAGCAAGAAGTTTGGAAAAAATACCTCATTGCAGAAAGAAAGTCACTACCAATAATGTCCCAGGCATATTTAAAGAAACCAGAAGAGTAACCATCAGGGCCTG